TCCCCCTCCCCGAGTTAAATAGGACTTAAGGTTCAGCTACACTCCTACAGGCACAAGCAGCCAAACACACTAAGCCATTAGGTTTTTAACATCCCTTGGTATAACAAAACTTGATCATATGACATTTTAAATCCCAAACATTAAGTGCAACATTTGTTTTGGGACGCCAGGGGAAAACATTGTGGCCTAACGGCTTAGTATAGGTACCCTTACTCCCCAAAGGGAAGGCCTAAACCCCTCGGAAGAGTAAGGACCAATAAGCCATAAAGTACTCAAGTGGGGCACCACTCCACATAAGTCGAGAGCACTATAGTCAGTTTCCTTTCCAGGAGTGGGAGTTATTCTTGAGCACTTCTTTGGGTGGCCCTTCCAACATCACCTAAGTCCATGCTCACTCCTTAACCCCAGTTTCAACCTCAAGTCAGTTTAAAAGCACCACTAGAGAGTTCCTTCAAAATTGGTTTTTGGACCTCACTATCCCTACTATACTTTTGAAACTCTTTGCAGACCGCCCCCCCCGGGAGACGCACGCTTTGGGCTTTTACCCCTTGATCTGTATTAGTACTCTGACTTGGTCTCAGACTCGATCTCGGACTCAATCTTGGATCCAACCTCGGACTCAGTCTCATACTCGATTTTAGACTTGGTTTTGTACTCAATCTCGGACTCAACCTCAGACTCGATCTCGGACTTAACCTCGGACTCAACCTCAGACTCAGTTTCGGACCCGATCTCGGATCTCAGACTCTATCTCAAACTCGGTCTTGGAGTCAAGGACTCAATCTCGCACTTTGTCTCGAACTCAATTTCAGAGTTGGTCTTGGACTCAATTTTAGGTTTGGTCCTATCTGATGAACTCTTTATCATTTCGGTTGTGTTTTTGTGGATCCTTTAGCTTACGACACCTCGGGGAGTTGGTTTCTTACACTAGGCCATGTATAAGTAGGATAACAATAGCATTATCATTGTTCACATATGGAGTACAAAGTGGATGATCTGATGTTAGTTTATTTTCCTAATCTTACGATATTGTAGGCGACTAATTTTTCCATCTCACTTTAGTCACTTAACCACACCTCCGACCACTTGGAGGAGTCTCATTCACAACCTCCATAAGTCCAACTCAGGACCTGGGGCTTGCCAGCCCCGAGAATGGCATCCATGCCACTCAACATTTGCACTTGGTCCAAGTGCTCCACGTGTCCGATCCCATGACCGACACTCAAAGGTACCACCGACATAGCAGCCCGTTACGCTAAGGCCATGCCCAATCACCTTTGCCACACTGGTAGTCCAATACCACTTGCATCACCGTCTTGGCTCTCCAAGACTAGGCAAACCCTCTGTGAGTGGTCATCTCAAATCCACTCCTTAGCATCCTTAGGATGCCCACCGACAAGGGGAATAGCCTTCCCCAATATCCCTCTGTCAGTTCCCACTAAGTCCCTTTCTGCCCCTGGCTGTGTTTGCCAACACTGCCACTGGATCGAGACCCACAGGCCCGACCACTAAGTCCCACAGTCCTCTGGGACTTCCTCCCCACACGACTGTGTCCTTGGTCACTACCCCAGAGGACTGCTCCTCTTCCTTTCCACAGTCTGGGCCTTTGGGACAACATTTCGGAACACCGTGGCCTTACGCGAGCCACCTGGGTACTCTCCTCGCCTTCTGTCCTTGGGTGCTCTAGCCATGGGCTTAGAGCGGGTTCCATTGAGCCACGACAGGTATCCAAGTAGGTAGTGCCACCCACACTTGGACTGGGAGCATCGGCCAGTCGATCTCCCGGGGGAACTAGAGCCGGCTCTTGAACACTTCACCAAGCTACCCCGCTTGTCGGTCCATGTTCACTCTAGTCTTGGACTTCCCAGTGGGCAGCTCATCACCCAACACTGGGTCCGGCCTTCCTAGGCCAAACTGGCCTTTCCTGGCCAAACTGGCTCCACTGCAGTCCTCCCCCTACTATACTTTTGGAGCTCACCAAACCCCCCAGGGTCTGGGAGACGAACGCTTTGGGCTTTCACCCTCTCAGGCTCCGGACTCGGACTCGGACTCGGACTCGGACTCGGACTCGGACTCGGACTCGGACTCGGACTCGGACTCGGACTCGGCCTCGGTCTCGGTCTCGGTCCCGATCTCGGTCTCGGTCTCGGTCTCGGTCTCGGTCCCGGTCTCGGTCTCGACTTCGGACTCCATCTCGGACTCCATCTCGGACTCCATCTTGGACTCCATCTCGGGTCCATCTCGGACTCCATTTCGGGTCCATCTCGGACTCCATCTCGGACTCCATCTCGGGTCCATCTCGGACTCCATCTCGGACTCCATTTCGGGTCCATCTCGGGTCCACCTCGGACTCCATCTCGGACTCCATCTCGGACTCCATCTCGGGTCCATCTCGGACTCCATCTCGGACTCCATCTCAGGTCCATCTCGGACTCCATTTCGGACTCCATTTCGGGTCCATCTCGGACTCCAATTCGGACTCCAACTCGGGTCCATCTCGGACTCCACTTCGGACTCCAACTCGGGTCCATCTCGGACTCCACTTCGGACTCCAACTCGGGTCCGTCTCGGACTCCACTTCGGACTCCAACTCGGGTCCTTCTCGGCCTCCCACGTGTCATGTGTTGGCCCTTTTGGGTCCCTTTTTGGAGCCTCGCCTTTTGCTCGCTTCGTGCTCGTTCCTCGAGCACTTCGTTGGGAGTTCCACTCCCGCTCTTGACTTTTCAAGTCGTAGCTTTTGGTCCAAACGTGTTACGCTCGTTTGGCTCTCGCTTCGGCCACTACCATGTGGCGCCCTTCCAGCTCCACTTTGGGGCCTAGGGATTTTGTGTCTCACAGATATGTGATTTATCTAAGGGGCTCTTTATTTAGTAGAAAGGACTATATCAGATGTTATGGAAAGTTGGACTATAAATTTATGAAGTTTGGCATGATATTCAGCAAGTTATCAAAACATTAAAACGTTAATAATATGAAGTTTGGCATGATATTCAGCAAGTTATCAAAACATTAAAACGTTAATAATCTTCCATCATTTCAATGATGTGAGGTCCAAGTATATGGCTACTATATTGTATATTAATATTAACATAGTGGGATTTTAGTATAAATTAGGGTTTTTGGGCTAATTGATATGCACATTTCTATATTGCATTTCCATATTCTATACACTTACACCTTTTAAAATATAATCTATTTAAAATCTAAATTAATGATCTTTTTTTATTGGATCAAGTCTTAGTTGGGAGAACCACCTTCTATGATCTTTCTACTGCGACAAGAGCTATGCAATCCCAATGCAGGCAACACTCTTGGTCATGTCACCTTTAGGATTTATCATGCACCACCCCCACTGCAAGCACTGGATGTCGCTACATTCAGCAATTCAATTTGGGGCTTCTTGCACACATCACAATTTTTCCTGTTGTGAAGGGCATTAGGGACCTAATGAGCACTTTTCAAACTAAAAAAATGAGACTAAATGGTTCATTGTCATTGTCAATCCTCCTCTCTCACAGGTGTTTTGATTTATAACATGCCTTTTTATTGAGGTGAGGAGGTTTGACAGAATGCAATAAAACAATGTAGTGTGGGAATGGCAAAGAATCTCGTGCTCTGGAAGCCTTCTCATGGATGGAAAGCCACCTCCATCAAGGCTTGCTCAGTTCTAGTTGTGGGAAGATGATCTAGAGCTAGAGATTCAAATTTATCAAATCATTCGACCTATGCTTCAACTTGATAATGTGAAAGGGATAAATATATTAAAATCTTATTTACATCAAATGCACGGATTTCGAGAAAAAACCCGCTCTAGAAGCATTTTCTGGACAACATCAATAGCCTTCCTGTAATGCCCATTTTGGGCATTTGCTGTACTTCCAGTACGTGGCTAGAATCCATTGCGCCGTGGATCATCCTTCCCTCAGAAATGCTGCCAGCGCTAGAGCAAGCGTGTAGAACGATGCTGAGCGTAGATTCGTTTGGGCACACTCCATCGTGGTGCATTCTCCGGAAGAGCTGCAGTCGATGCAGCCACACTTCCCATACATGTCCACCAGGAGATTCCCAAGCACCAGCTCGCGATCCATGCCCGTTGTTGTGATTTTCTGGTGGAGTCTGCCAGGGATTGCGAGGCGGTGCAGTGCCGCACCAGTCGCGACCACGCAAATGCCTCTGCGAGATTTGGGGTGGTGGAGACGAAGGAGAAGAGCAAGTCCCATGGTACTTGTAGGGATAGAATTAACAATTTTGCGCTTGATGATTTCACTCCTGTCTTCCACCTTGCGGTCGCGCAATCACTTCCATCGCTATCAACTTCTCTGGATATTAAGCAACGTCTTGGGCAGTAGTTTCACACCGGCAACCCAACGCTTGTGGATCTTGCGCAAACACTCCATCGCCTGCTTCAGAGTCTCGCCCCCTCAGTGATAATGAGCTTCGAAGGATTGGAGCACTGCTCCCTGATACCACCATCGCTCATCGTAACGACGATTAAGACAGTAGAAGGTCCATGTTTTGGCTTTGTTTGCTTTCAACTGCGGGGGAGTTCGCAGTGAGTCCCCGGCCCGCAACTGGTGGAGAGGCCGTGAATGCAAGCAACACCACCCGACGTCTCTTAAATCAAGGGCTTGCGCTCAGAAGAAGAGCTCTTCGTCAAAAGAGGAGATCAAGCGACGGGAACAAGTACAAGGTTATAAAGATGTTCTCGCACACAATCTTTGTCTTCCTTTATTAACTCTGTTGGTCCAGATTTAATTGGGGGAATGTAGCAAAACCATTGCAACATCGGCTTTTTGGATCCAGCCACACCCACCCATCTATCAAATTCTCTATGGTTTCACAGCAATGCACGATCGCCACCCTTCTCGCAGAGCAAATGCAGGTGCCTGTATGGAAGCGATTCTGTCAAGCACTATGGGACTCGCTCTTCTTCTTCGTCCCCCCACCCAACGTGTGAGCGAAGCGATCCTTAAATTCAGCTTTCGCTTTGGACAGAGGTGTACATTTTTCTACGTGAAATTATTAGAGAGATTATTTAATGAAGAACATAGAAGAATTTGAAATTTTAACTAGGATGGCGCGAGTGGAGGACTTTGTGGACGAAGCCTTTGATCTTCCGAGGCGATTCTTTGAAAGCAGCGCGAGCGGTCTCTTTCACCTGGGCAGCCTTGCTCCTCACAAGCTCGCCCTCGTCAATCACAGCGCGAAAAGCTCGCTCGAAAGCAATCCTCGGGATTAAACCATCTTCACCATCTTTCGCTAGTCCCACTCCAATCCCCAAGTGCTCCACAATGATCCGTGCGTTCCCTCGCTGCTCTCCGTAAAACGGCATCGTGATAATCGGAACGCCCCGGCTTAAGCTCTCCATCGTCGAGTTCCATCCGCAGTGGGTCATAAAACCACCCACAGCCCTGTGCGACAGAACCAAGAGCTGTGGTGCCCATTTCTTCACCACCATTCCTGTCTTGTTCGTCGTCGCCCGTTCCAAAAATCCCTCCGGGAGAAACTCCTCGGCACCATTGTGCAGAACCCACAGAAATCTCTTCTCGCTTGCTTCCAATCCAAACGCAAGCTCTTCGATCTGTTCCCGGTTAGCGCGAGCGAAGCTTCCAAACGAGATGTACACGACGGACGCGGTGGGCTGCTCGTCCAGCCATGCCAAGCACTCGACTTTGTCACAGTGTTCACAAGCATCGTCGTCCGCGAAGTAGGGGTCTGGAAGCAAAGGCCCGATATCCACGAAAGGAACCTTGTTGGGATTTATCATCGCATTCTCGCTCAGAGCGATGCATGCCTCCTCCTCGATCGCAGCAAACGTGTTGCACATCACTCCAGCTGCCTCGTGAGCTCGAAGAGCATTTGTCACGTAGAAATACCGCATCACATCGGGGATTGTCTCTATGACTGGGCTGCTAACTTGGTCGCTCGAAAGTGGCGAGAGTCCAGCCGAATCTATCCCGGGTATTCGCACCAGCTCTTGAGCTCGCACAGGAAGCTTGTTTTCGTGTAGCATGCTCTTGAGATAGAAATGAAAGGCCAGTGCCATTCCCGGCGATGGGTAGAAGATAATCCTGGGAATGTTGAGCTCGTCCGCTACGTCTTGGGCCCAGGAAGCGAGCAAGTTGTCCGTAATGATGCAGCTTATCGGAGGATTGGCAGCACTGATGAGCTCCTTCAGTTCTACTCCATCTTCGGGATGGAATCTAAAGGACCAGAGAATGACCTGCATCGAGTCGTGCCCCGAGCTCGATTCCTGCTGCTCTTTGGGTGGGAAGTTTTTTTTGAGCGTCTGGAACTTGATGTGTGGGTTGCACGCTCGTGCTTTGGCCTCTCTCTTCACTTGCTCAAGCCTGAACTCGTGACAAACGTAGCTTACCTCGAAATCAAGGCCGGCTAGCCTGCTCGCGAGCACTAAAGCCGGGATCATATGCCCTTGAGCCGAGTAAGGAACGACCATCAAGTGAGGCACCTCCTCCCCCATTATTGATCGCTCTCCTTACCCCGGACTTCCTTCGCAACGATCATAAAGGCTTTGAAACAAATGGTGCCAAAGTGATCACTGTTGTTCCGGCAGAAACGAAGCAGCACCGCTCGCTCCAAATGTGGACACGAAGCACGCAGCATCGACAAACACGCTAAAACCAACCTGGCAGAAGACAAAGGAACGAGGCATAACAAACAAAACAAACTTACATACCATCGATAGATGGAACTCGAGAGGAACAGCTTGCGACCGCTGCTGTTAACTTGTGCCACCACCGCGGCACACTTGTGCAAGTTGTCCAGGCTCTGTGTCAACTAGTCAGCTGGATCCTCTCCCATCCACCTTGAGTCCTGCCTCATCTTCTAGATCTTCCAGCAGAGCCTTTTCGAGTTTGTCAGTGAGTATCTCGTCCGAGATAGCTCCACTTTCCAGTATACTCACAATCATCTCCACAACTTCCTCCTCCGACTCGTTGTCCGCTTTCTGGAGCCTGATCACCAAAGGAGATCGTGTCACGATTCCCTCTCCATCCGGCAAACTTAAGCCGGCAAGGGACTCGACTTCCCACTGGATATCACCAACAATAACGATGGTTGGCAGCTCGCTGCCTTCTTCCATGACGTCCATGGACCTCAGCTTGTCCACCGCGTCAAGCAAAGTGTTGAATGAAGCATGGATAGGACGCCGAAGCCATTCGAAAAGAACCTGTGGACCGCAAAGATTTGAAGATCATATATACAGAGTGAGTTGTCCATTGATCTTCAATCTTCGATCGCCAAAAGACCAAAAGCCAACAGTCACCAAAGGAGTGCGCGAATGCTCGCCACCTTCATTTTAAATCGAGCAGTAAAAATGAAAGAAAGAAGTAAGCACAATTTAGAAAGCAAAGTAAAACAACGAACCTTGGGTAGAGGTCAATCGACTCTTGCCGCTTAATCCACTTCTTCCCATGCACTCACAGCCTCGAAAAGCACACTCTTCACATGTTTCGCAGCTAGGCCACATCCAAAACACATGTTCGAAAAACCAACATAGTGAGCAGCACTATCGGAGTCCCACTCGAGAACGAGCCTTGCAACTTGCAGGCCCGTGTCGGCATCCCCATGAACTTGGCATGCTGCAAGTAGGATGCTGCTGGCAATCACACGAGACTCCCAAGACAGCAGCTCCTTGCTCAGTGCTTCGGCTTGCTCCAGCCATCCAAGCTTGGCGAATATGTCCACCATGCACACGACATGCTTTTCGGTGGGTTGTATCCCATAGTCGTGTTCCATCGAGCTGTAGAAGAGCAACGCTTCGTGTAGAAAACCAGATTGACTGCACGCCGAGAAAACACTGATAGACGTGATCGCGTTGGGCTTGAATCCTTGCTGCAGCATTCTTCTCAGGAGGTTTAAAGCTCGGATGCTGTCACTGCCTTGAGCATAAACTCCTACCATGGCGGACAAGGAAACTACGTCTAGACATTTCATGCGGCCAAAGATGATCTCGGCCTCGTCCACACAGCCAAGCTGTCCATACATTTTCACAAGAGCTGTAAACACCCTGTTGTTGGACGAGCTTTCGTCGAGGGCTGATGTGAGTCTGGCATGGATTTCTCGCCCCCAAACAAGTGCTCCTACGCTTCCACAAGCCTCCAGCACCGCAACATAAGTTACCTGGTCTGGCTCGAGCTCCATTTGCTGGAAGACATCCAGAGCCAGCATTGGCTCACCGTTTTGGACGTAAATAACGATCATCGTGGTCCAGGTAACCACGTCCCTGGAGGGCATTCGATCGAAAACCTCTCTTGCTTCGTTCAGACAGCCGCATTTGCCATACATGTTGATAAGTGCGTTGGCAACTGCAACGAGCTCCTCAAACTTGGATAGAGCAGCTAGCTCGTGAATCTCTTTCCCTTGGTCGATGTCTTCGGCCACTGCACAAGCATCAATGATCACAACAAACGCGCGGCTGTCGAGGAAAGCCCGCCCTAGCAGCATTTTCTGGACGACATCAACAGCCTTCCTGTAATGCCCGTTTTGGGCATATGCTGCAACCATAGCTGTCCATGACGCAGGATCTCTGTGCTGCATTTCCAAGAACACTCTTTCGGCGCTTCCAACATCGCCACCTTTTCCATAAAGAACGACAAGCGCATTTCCTACGTACTCGAAGAGTACGTGGCTAGGATCCATTGCGGCGTGAATTAATCTTCCGTCAGCAATGCTGCCAGCGCTGGAGCACGCGTGTAGAACGATGCTGAGGGTAAACTCGTTTGGGCGCACTCCATCGTGGTGCATTCTCCGGAAGAGCTGGATCGACTGGTGGTAATGCCCATTGCGGGCATATGCTGCGATCAAGATCGACCACGAGTAGACGTTCCTGCAGTGGATCCGCTGGAACACTTGTAGAGCGGAGTCGATGCAGCCACACTTCCCATACATGTCCACCAGGAGATTCCCAAGCACCGTCTCGCGATCCATGCCTGCAGCGGCGATCTGCTTATGGAGACGCTTGCCCTCCGCCAGGGATTGCGAGGCGGTGCAGCGCCGCACAAGCCGCGACCACGCAAATGCCTCCTCCGCTGGATGGGGTGGTGGAGACCGAGCCCCATGGTGCTTGTGTAGCATTCAGGGTATCTTGCGATGGATAGATCGAGGGGATTTGCATTGGGCGATCCAACAAATGTGGGCTTGATGATCTTCACTCCGGGCCACTCTTGCTTGCTAAACCGGTGTGATCATGCCACCGCCAAGGCGGCCAACCAGCTTAACACGCAGCTTCCCGGCCTCGTCAACTTGGCTGACAAGCTTGGACGAGTCCATGTCGCGGATGGGAACCCCACGCTTGTGGATGCACTCCATTGCCTTGAGAGTCTCGCCCTCCTCACTTACGATGAGCTTCGAAGGTTGCTCGACCTCGCTGACTACGTTCTCGTGTAGCAGTCCACCTCCGTGACAAGCTTGGCGAGAGCGTGACTGATAACTTGCCGCCCAGTCTAGCGTCGCTCGAACGGCGAACACCGCCTGGTAGCGTCTCCACCTTGCTCTCTCGCGTCCTCGAGATCCGGGAGCTCTGAGCAACACAAGGCAGTCACGGGCGATGGGATTCAAGTTCGAAGATCTCAGTCCAAGAGCCCTAAAAATGCAGGAACCTGCAAATGGAATACGCATCGAATGAGGGAGGCGCTCACGTCGCTCATCCAATGAGACGAGTCATGGGCGATTACCTTGAGGTGCGTGGAGTGGAGTTCTTGGATCAAAAACACATTTTGCTCTTTCTTGCAGAGCAAGAAATGGGAGCGAGGTCTTGTTTTACATTCTTCCACCCAGGAGCAGCATTGGAGGGGCATTGGTTTGGAGCACAAGATCTTGAGGACTCCATCCCCAAGCAGCTGGAGATTTGGCAGAGGCAAGGAAGGGGGCCTTGCCTTGAATGCTCTCTGTGGTGTTGTGGGGCCTTGCTTGGAAGAGCGAGTCTTGTCGACACTGGCGCGTTGCTGCCGCTGCCAACCAATTCCTCCACGATGGATGACATGAATGAATGAGGAGGGAGGACGGCAAAAGAATGGATTTTCACCGACGGTTGCAATGCAAAGAGCTGGATGGCCCACGAACGACACCACCATGCTACCTATCTATCTATCTTCTCTCTCCAACAAAGCGAGAGAGAGAGAGAGAGAGAGCAAGAGAGAGCGGAAGAAGAGATGGATCAAAGCTTTCCGACACTGACGCTCCAACAACGTGGGGCCGGCTGGGCTGGCGGGCCTCGGAACGGGATCGCGAAATGGTACCCAGGAAGGACAAGCTCCAACGTAGAAAATGGGGGTGAGCCATTGTTTTTGTGGAGGGACAGCGATGTTGCTACTAACTTTTCTCCCTTTCCTAATGTTGGACAGCTCAGTCGCGGTGTGACCCGAATGATCGACGCAAAGTTTCCAGCCTCCTCTTCGCCTTTCTTCCTTGTGGGGGCTGCCAGCTTCAGAGCAAAGCGCTGCACCAACAAAAGCACATCTCAGTGCGTGCTGATGCCAGGCACCTAACTCGCTGTTGCTCTTCTCGTCGCTCGAGGAGGAAGGAGCACGCACGCACGCACGGCGATGGATGCGCTGCGGCCCTAGGCGCAGCCATTTGGTGAGCCATTGCAGTCTGCCTGCTACTCATTCTCACTCTCTTCAAATGATTCTTTCGCAGCGCTTGCAACGTGATGCCAGGCCAACTGATCGTCCACAATTGTGGGATGGCAAGGAACGAGCACTCGCGTGGCTCAGCTCCAGTTGAGTGAGAATTGGTCTTGCAAGGCTTTTGTTCATCCCTGGCTCTTGCGTGGTGTGTAAACAGGGATAGTCGCACTCGGGCTGCTCGACTTGCTTGCTTGCTTGCTACTGATCGAGGAAGATGGCATGGACGTGGAAGAAACGGTACTCGGATAGAAATGGAGACGCGGTGATCAGCAGCACCTCGCACCTCCCACCGAGTCCAAATAATGTGAGTCATCACGAGCGAGCAAAAGGACACTCTTTTTTTCTCAATTCTCTTGCGCACTCTCTTGCACAGGGTGATCATGCGAGGATCTCCGAGGCATGGACGCAAGCACCATCGGAGTTGGCTCTCAAGGTGAAGGAGGCCGAAGTGAAGCAGCATGCTAAAGTCGCCGAAGAAGCTGTCGCAGGTAGCGTCTTCTTTATGTCCATCTTTGGCGAATTCTTTCTGAAAATTCCATCTTTATTTCGATTTCAATGCAGGATGGGAGAAGGCGGAGGCCGAGACGGAGTCCATGAGAAGGCAGCTGGAGCTCGTCCAGAAAGAAAAAGCCGCACAGCAGGAGCGTCTCTCGCACTTAGATGCAGCGCTCAAGGACTGCACGCGCCAAGTGCGACTTGTCAGAGAAGATCAAGAGCAAAAACGACAAGAGCTGCTGCACAAGAAAAACAAGGAGGTGGACAAAATCCGAGCCGAGTATGAGGCCAAGTTGGCAGACGTTGGGCGACAGCTGCTAGAGGCGGGGGCAGAGAACAAGGTGATGGCGATGACGCTCCAGGAGCATGCTAGAACAATCGGGGAGGTGACAGATGCCAAGTCCCGAGCCGAGGCGGAGATCAAACTGCTGCAGCACCGCATGGAGTCGGTTGAGAAGGAGAAGGGAGCGCTCAAGTACGAGGTGCATGTCCTCAACAAGCAGATACAGATACGAAACGAGGAGCGAGACTACAGCAAGCGAGACATCGAAGCTCTCAACAGGCAGCACGCGGAGGACACAAAGGTGATGAACAAACTGGAGGCCGAGTGCCAGAAGTTGCGGATTCTGGTCAGGAGGAAGCTCCCTGGTCCCAATGCTCTAGCGCAGATGAAGATGGAGGTGGAGAGCCTAGACGGGGGTGGCGAAAGCAAGAGAAGGGGTACTAGGAGCTCCACAGAAACTAAGCTGCATCAGAATGGTAGCCGGGAGATCGAGCTGCTTCTTGAGAGGTTGCTGTCCATGGAGGAGGAGACGAAGATGCTCAAGGAGGCACTGGCTCAGCGGAATGGCGAGCTTCACTCCTCTCGGCTTATATGCGCCAAGACGGCAACCAAACTGTCAGCCATGGAAGCGTACTTCGACAGCGTTTCACGAACGCATGGACTGTCCAAGCCGAAAGTCAATGGCATCGACGCGGACTGCTCGCCTAGTGTGGTAACGGTCTCGGAGAACGGCACTGCGGACGATGAAGTTAGTCGTGCGGATGCTTGGGCTTCTGCACTGATTGCGGAATTGTCACAGTTCAGGAAGGACAAACCATCACCAAACAGCATGACGAGCGAAGCCATCAGCTCTCCATCAACCTTTGGCGGCATCATGGATGACTTCACGGACATGGAGAAACTGGCATCCGAGTTAACGAGCGAGAAAGCTTCTCTTGCCATCGGGGATGATGAAGTAACAATCAGGGAAGTCCCCGCGGCAAGGAAGCTGGAACAGGATTTCGAGAAGGCAGAAGGAGCGCTCAAGCCACAGGTTATTCAAGACGGTGGAGTGACGGAGCTCCAACTCTCGATAAGCAAGGTGGTGGAATCTCTTGCGGGGTCCCTCGGTCTTCTATCGCCTGGGGATAATGCGGAAATGATCATAGATGGTGGACTGGAAGCCAGGCTCCAGAAAATGAGTCCACAGCCGAGTGTGGAACCGGCACCATCGTTGCAAGAGTTTGTCAGCGAGCTCCTTGGAGCGTTGGAGATTATATCGTCCGCAGTTAGCAGCAAGAAGCACAGGTCCAGTGCGGTTGAAGTCCTCGACTGCGAGACCCAGACGTGCAATGGCGATGACAAGCTGGAGCTTGAACTGGTCCGCATTGAGAAGAATGCTCTCGAGAGCCACATGAAGTCCGAGCTTAGTCGCCTGACAGCTATGGAAGGCGAGGTGCTCCAGCTGAGAAGCGACAAGGTCCAGCTGCAGCAGGGCCTAGATGCGGGGAATCAAGAGCTTGAAGCATCCAAAGCTCAGCTCCAGGAGGCACAGCATCTCATTCAGGAGCTACAAACAAAGCTCTCTCTTTCAGTACCGGACGGGACCAAGGAGGAGGCCATGGTTGTCACTGAAGTGGAATCTCAGGTTCGATCCAGCGGTTCATTAATGCAAGATGCGGTGTCACGGCTAGAGAAGGAGCTCGAAGAAGAATACAAGCACCATGAAGAAGACAAAGCAAGGAGGTGAGTTTCTTTCTCTCTCTCTTTTTTTTCTATCTTTCTCTTTTGATACGACAAAGGTGTGTCAGTACGATTCGGGAAACTGATGGTTTGCAGTTGCAGGAAAGAGCAGCAGGAGAGTGCGGTGCAAGCGGAGGAAGCCGAGGACGACAGGCGGACACGAAAGGTTCGTTCCTATGAATATTTTAACAGGATTGTCAAATCGAGAAACGCCCGTGCCTGGCTTTCGTGCTGCAGGGGGAAGAGATCGCCGAGGCCGAAGCGAAGCTAGCCGAGTGCCAGAAAACCATCCTCGCTCTTGGCAAGCAACTCAAAGTCCTGTCGTCGTCACCCCGCCGGGAGGCGAACACGAACACGAGCACGAACGCTGACTCCATAGTTGGGTCGTCGAGGGCCAACTCGATGCTCTCAGTCTTGCGAAACTTCTCGGAGAGCGACCCCGAGGAGGAAATGGTCTCTCGCGACGTGACCATTGCAACACCAGTGAACGAGTCCTACATTCCGACGCTACGCCAGGATCATGACGAGGAACAGGACGCTGGCTTCCCACCTTCGAGCCCGCTGATGATGCAGCGAGGGGGTGCCGGCTCGAGCTCCCCGGCCACGAAAGCCAGACGATCGAGCTTCTCGCGGTTTTTCAGAGCCAAGAACAGTGCGTGACTTGGAGTGGAGTGGAGTGGAGTGGAGTGGATGGACGAAGAACAGAAACAAAGTTGGCCGGGGCAGTCTAGAACGGGGTGTACAGTGTGGATGGCGATGGAGTTTTGGAGATTTTTGGCATGGCTTGGCTTGCACTGCTCGTCCAGGTAGCAAGCAACGAGAAAAAAGCGAATCATCAAGCGCACTCTCGCTGGCGGGGGGGTGAGAGGAGCAACTTTGCTTGAGCTTTGGGACAAGTGAAGCTTACTACTTCTTCGCTCCTTGCTCTTTGTTATACGCAACTCACTCTTTTCTCCCTCCCTTCCTTGTGGGCTGCCAAGTGTGGCGCGTTTAAGGCAATGCCGGTGAGGGGGACGGGCGAGGGCTGTAGATGGTTGACCGGGCGGCCGGCGACCGTTGACCAGCCCAACGCGCATTCCACTACTTGTGGGCGCAACGCAAGCACACCGGGTCTCGCGGCTATGGATACCTGGATGGGATCGATTTGACTGGGTAAAGGAGGAATCCAACAGTGGAGGGAGAGGTATAGCTATGCAATGAGGAAGAAAAAGGAGGAGGTGGAAGTGGTGGTGGTCTTGCTGCTGGTGGCGGCGGTGGTGGCGAGCCTAGGAGATTTATCCCAGGACAGAGATGCGCTGCTAGATTTTTACAATGCAGTTGGGAGCGCGAGCAGCAACCGGCGGCTGGGCTGGAACAGGAGCGCTGGCGCGGGTCCCTGCGATTGGCGCGGGATCGAGTGCTCCTCCACTGGAATCACCAGGATTCGACTGCCCGGGGTGGGTCTCGCTGGAAGCGTCCCTCCCGGGAGCCTCTCCTCGCTGACGAGCTTGCGGGTTCTCAGCCTCCGCTCCAACCGGCTGGGCGGTCCCTTCCCGGATCTCCGCAACTGTTCCCAGCTCCGCGCGCTCTATCTCCAGGACAATCGCTTCTCCGGCCGGCTCCCCCCGGATTTCAGCCTGTGGCCGCAGCTCCTCCACATCAATCTCGCCTACAACGCGCTCAATGGCAGCATTCCCACCTCCATCGACAACCTCACTCGCCTCACCACGCTCAACCTCGAGAACAACACGCTGTCCGGGGGCCTGGCGCCGGAGCTCTCCCTCCCCAGGCTGGTGAGATTCAGCGTCGCCAACAACAATCTCTCCGGCCCAGTGCCACGGAGCCTCCAGGGATTCTCCTCGGCCGCCTTCGATGGCAACGTTCTCATCTGCGGCCCTCCACTCACCAACAATCCCTGCCCCATCACCGCTGCCCCTCCGGCCATCGCCCCGGCCATCCCGCCCCCGGGAAGAAGAAGACGCTCCAGAGGCCTCAGCTCGGGCGCCATCGCTGGAATTGTGCTGGGAAGCATCGCTGCGGCCGTGGTCGCCGCCCTCCTCTGCTGCTTGCTCGTCGCGAGATCCCGTCGGCAAAGACGAGCCACTGGAGGAGGAAACAGGCATGTGACAGTGAGAGCTCGAGCTCAACCCAGCTTCAAGCCCAGCGCCGGGACGGTGGCGGCTGGCGGATCAGGACGAGATCACGCGGGCGATTCCACGTCCAAGGAGGAGGATCTGTCCAGCTCCCTCCAGGGCGATCAGCTGGTGGGCAGCAAGCTCGTGTTCTTGGACCCGGCCAGGAGGGGCTCGTTTGATCTCGAGGACTTGCTGCGAGCGTCGGCCGAGGTTCTTGGCAAGGGCAGCATTGGAACCACGTACAAGGCAGTGCTCGAGGATGGCAGCATTGTGGCGGTGAAGAGGCTCAAGGACGTGACCGCGCCTCCCTCGCAGTTCGAGCACAACATGCAACTCATTGGAGGTCTCCGCCACCGGAATGTGGTGCCGCTCCGAGCTTACTACCACTCCAAGGACGAGAAGCTGCTCGTCTCGGACTACATGCCGCGAGGGAGCTGCTCGGCTCTCCTCCACGGTAAGTTCTCTTAAGTTCTTCCAAAGTTCTTCCAAGAGAAAAGGTGGTGAGCAAGCTACAAAATGGGATCTTTGCAGGGAACAGAGGAGCTGGGAGGAGTCCCCTGGATTGGCCATCGCGTCTCCGGATCGCCGACGGCGCTGCGAAGGGTCTGGCATACATCCACGAGCAAAACGGCGGCACGTTCGTTCATGGCAGCATCAAATCGTCCAATGTGCTGCTGGCCAAGGACTTCGAGGCGTGTGTGTCGGACGCCGGGCTCGCGCATCTCCTCACCACCAACGCCGCCGCCACCTCGTCGCGGATGCTCGGCTACCGGGCGCCCGAGGTGCTGGAGACGCGCAAGGTGACGCAAAAGTCGGACGTTTACAGCTATGGAGTGCTGCTGCTGGAGCTGCTGACTGGGCGAGCCCCGACGCAGGCGTCGCTTACCGACGAGGGGATTGATCTGCCGCGATGGGTCCAGTCGGTGGTGCGCGAGGAGTGGACGGCCGAGGTGTTTGATCTGGAGCTCATGCGCTACCACAACATCGAGGAGGACCTGGTGCAAATGCTGCAGCTAGCTTTGAGTTGTACGTCGGTGGCGCCGGAGCAGCGGCCCAGCATGAGGCAAGTGATGGAGACGATCGAGCAGCTGAGGCGTGCCAGCAGTAGCGATGGTGGTGGTGGTGGCGGTGGTAGTGGTAGTGGCACTGGCGAGGACACATCCTGATTCATTCCTTAGGCCTGATCGAACTCCATTGTTTTGTTCCTTTACTCGGGGTGTTGCATAAGATCTTTCGATCATTGTTGTCATCAATCGCCATCATCCATGTAGAACACCTGGGATTGGATTGTTTACATTGGATTTTGAAAAAACCTGTCTCCATTTGATCTTTTTGTTCAAGTACCAACAAATATAAAGCTTGTTTTAAAAAATTGAAGTGTAGACTTTCACAAGTTTTAATAAACTTTGGAAAGCTTAATAGATTTCAAATTATATCTTACTAATCTTGTGATGATCAACTAAATCTTCTAACTGGAAGGAACTTCAAATTGCAGTTCTGGTTTCCCTTTCTTTTTGTTTCGTTGATTTTGTCTTTGATCAGGTTAATTTGTTTTTCTTCTTTTGTTCTAAGTTTATAAACTTCCTTACTCTTCCCGTGGATTTGACACTGTACTGTCCATGAAATAGAATCTTTGCCATTGCATTGAATTAAATAGGATTTTAGCATATTCAAGATGCTGATATAGACCTATAACACTATAGAGCTTGAAATGATTTTGTTTCATATAACAATTTTTTATTTAATAAAATGTTGATCTATGAAGTTCTGCTGCAAAAAATGCCCAAGCTTTTCCTACTAAGACTCATGAGATCCCCCAGGTATATCAGACCTTTCTACCAATGTTCTTTTAGATAATTTGGAATTAAGATCTAAGGTGCTAGTTGCAAGTTGCAAATTCAAAATGAGGAAGAGAACCGCATCTATACGTGGTTACCTTCATTAAGCTGCATAGAGGTTTGCCAGTGACACATAGCTCGCAGCACTCTTGGGCGCCATCTCACAGGCAAGCTTAGCAGCACCGGCGCCGTGCCTGACGCTACGATGGAGTCCACAAGCTCCAGCCAAGCTTCCCCACGACACTCCATCCCCTTGAAAAGGCATGCACCCCGCAAGCTCGGACGCATTCTCGAGTTGCCCCACTTTCCCAAACACGTCGATGAAGATGCAGTAGTGCTCGATGCAAGGCTTCAATCCATGGTCGGCCATGGCAGCCAAGTAGGAGCGTGCCTCTCTCAGCAATCCCTTGTGAGCGCAGGCATTGAGAATTATCAGAAACGATACGTCGTTTGGCAACACGGACTCCAACCCCATGCTGTGAAGCAGCTCAAACGCATCGCTGTAGTGCCCAAACTGAGCATATGCTGCAAGCATTGTGTTGTAGGATACAGTGTCTCTCCCTGGCAGCGTCAAGAACATGAGTTTCGCCGCAGGAACATTTCCTGCCTGGGCATCTGCGGCGAGAGTTACGTTCCAAGTTGTAGCATCGCGCTCGGGAGACTTGTAGAAGAGATCCTTGGCGTAATCAGCGTATCCGTTTTGGACATAAACCGTAACCATGGCGTTCCACGAAACAACGTTCTTGACAGGAAGTAAATCAAACAGAACTCTGGCAGCCTCAACGTTTCTCTTTTGTCCATAGCCAGCCACCAGAGCGTTCCAGGAGACAACATTCTGTTCAGGCATTTTGCTCCACAGCTCTTTCGCTTGCTCCATGCGCCCACACTGGGCATACGCGGCAACCATAGCGTTTACAGTCACGATGTTCCACTCGCTCATTCTTCGGAAGAGACGCTCAGCCTTTTCAATCAGTCCTTGTTCGGCAAAAGTAACAATCACTATGTTGCAAGACACAACATCTGGCTCTGGAAGCGCATCAAACAATCGCTCGACGAGATCGATGCTACCACTGTGGATGGCCGCTGCCAGGAGTGTGTTCCACGACACCATGTCGTGGCAAGGCATTCGATCAAACATTTCCTTGGCACCCTCGTACTCCCCGTTCTGCGCGTGCGCCTGGACGATGCTATTCCATGATGCCATGCTCCGCTCCTTGAGACTGTCAAACATGGCAGCCGCGCGCGCAAGGCATCCAGCGTCGGCATAGAGCGCAACCATCGCATTGCACGCCACCGCGTCCCACTCCGGCATCCGGGCGAAGAAGATGGTCTCGGCCCCGGCCACATTCCCATTCTGGGCAAATGCTACAAGCAAGGATGTCCACGTCAAGAGATTGGGTTCCGGCATCCTCCGGAACAAGCGGTTGGCCTCTTCCACACACCCGTCGTTGGCATACGCTTGGATCATCGTGTTCCACGACACACAATCCCTCTCGGGCATTCTCTCGAAATATTCTTTTGCTTGATCCAAATGCCCGCAATGGGCAAATGCTTGGATCATTGCGTTCCAGGTGACAAGATCCCGGACGTGGTAGCTACCAAATGCCGCAAGCGCTTGCTCGATCATGCCCTGCTGCCCGTATGCCGTGATCATCGCGTTGGAGGCGACGAGATCGCGCTTGGAGGGCGGCGTGGAGTCGAAGAGCGACTTCGCTGTGTCCAGGCATGCATTGTGGAGGCACGCGGTGATGATGAGATTCCAGGAGAAGGAATTGGGGGATTGGATGCGGTGGAATGCGGCGAGCGCGTCGCCCACGCTGCCGCAGCGGCCATACATGTGGATGAGGAGATTGGCGAGGTATCTGCTGCTGCGGTGGGGGCTGTGGACGATCTCGGCGTGGAGGAAATGGGCCTGTGACAGATCCCTGCACGATCGAACACGCCGAGCAATCGCGTCTTCTTCTCGAATCCTCCATTGCTCTTCCAAAGCTGACAGTAACCTTGCTGTAGTCATACAAGATACATAACAAAAAACTATCTATCATCTGTGGACAAAAACATTGCCTCTGTTTGGATTGACCATCGAGCGAGCGAGCGAGCGATGGGGAGCTTTCACGCCAAGAATCCAAGCTTCTCTCCGTTCTTCTTCGCGATTCTTATCAAGCCTTGCCGGACCTTGTTGTCTGCGCCCACGGACTTGCAAAACTCGGTAATCACCTGGAAACGAAGAATGTGGATTCATCCAAAGCAAGCTATAGACCGACAGTACCTGGGAGTGAAGAGCAATTCCTTTTCCACGCAGCTGGTTGAATTGCTTCGCTCCCAAAACACTGCGCGCCACCACCACCAGCGGAGCAAAGATTCCCGAGCTTCCTTCCTTGCTGCCAGCCACCACCACCAGCGATGATCGTCTTTGTCTTTGCCTTGCGGAGGAAGAGCTCAAGTTCTTGGTCTCCAACTCAAGCCCAGCCAAAGGCCTGCTTGAGATCGATCCAGCGATAAACGCCATTGAACTGTTGCGCCAAGATCTGGGAGAAGCTCTCACTCCGAGACGACCATGATCACCATTGCCTGGCAGCAGTCTCCTCCAAGTTCCTCTTTCCTCTTTCCTCTTTTGCTCTTTCGCCAGAACGTTCTCCCTTTGGCATCCGACTCGCGTCCAACGTGTCGTCACCATAGCCAGGAGATGACCAGATGAGGAATGAATGGGCGGATGCCTGTTCCCAGCTTAGCTTAGCCCACCACCTTTCTCATCAGTGTGTAACACCGTGTGTTGTGAGTGTTAAGCACACGCTCTCGCTCAGCCCGTTTGCCAGCACCAAGTAAGCTCCAACATCTCCGGGACTGACGCTCCACACTTTCTGTGCCGCCGACTTTGCTCCTCCAACGTCGCAATGGATGTAGCATCCCCCCAGCAAAGCTCCCCAGCTTGCAGCATCTCCGCGCAGAGGCATGCTTTCCGCGAGCTCCACTGCTCTCTCCACTAGTCCCGCACGCCCGAGAATGTCGATCATGCTCGAGTAGTGATCCATCACTGGCGTCAAGCCATGGTCGCTGCTCATCGCCACGAAGTAGTGACAGAATTGCTGGAGCAGGCCCTGGTGCGAGCAAGCCGTCAGGAGGATGACGAAGGTGGCAGCGTCCGGAGCAACACCGTCGACTTGCATCGCTCGGAAGACTAGGATCGCGTCGTTGGCATGGCCCGACTTGGCGTAAGCAGCCACCATGGAGTTCCAGGCGGCTGTATCGGTTGCCACACCACGATCCTGCTGCTTCATCCGCTCGAAAACCTGTCTAGCAGCTTGGAGATGGCCGTGATGAGCATACACCGAGATCATGGACGCCCATGCCGTGGCGTTCCTCTCGGGCATGCTCTCGAACACAAGCGCAGCTCCTGCCACGTCTCCATTGTCCGCGGTCACGGCCAACGCCGCATTCCAGGACGCAGCATCCCAGCTTGGCATTCTCCAGAAAAACTTCTTCGCTTCTCCAGTATCACTATTTGTTTCTAAAGGCGCCATGGCAGCCACCATCGTGTTCCAGGAGACCACACTTCGCTGAGGCATGCTCTCAAAGCACGCCTTAGCCTCGAGAACTTCTCGGCCGTGAGCATGCGCCGAGACCACTGCATTCCATGATACAACGTCGTGCTTGGGCATTCTGTTGAAAGTGCTCTTGGCACCAGCAAAGTCTCCGAGCTGGAAGTTCGCAGCAACCATCGTGTTCCAGGAGACAACGTTTCTCTCCGGCATCCTCGTGAAGATATCCTTGGCAGGACCAAGGTGACCCTGGTCGACACAGGCCTGGATCATGGTAGTCCAAGTCACAACGTTGAGCTGCGGCATCCTGTCAAGAACTTGGTGAGCCATGGTGGTGATGCTACCGACGAAGGCGTGAAGAAGAGCCGTCCACGATACCACGTCCCTGTGCGGCATCGTGTCGAACAGCGACTTTGCGAGATCCACATGCCCACACTGGGCATACGCGGAGACCATCGTGTTCCACGAGCAGATGCTGGGCTTGCATATCCCCTCGAACACAATCTGAGCGTCACGGATGCTCCCGCAGCTGCTATACATTTTCACCAGCAGATTCGCAAGGTACCTGCTACTTCCAAATCTACTGCTCTTGATCTGTGCGTGAATCCACCTCCCCCTGGCGATGTTCTTCGACTCTCCGCATTGTTTCACAATGCCTGCGTAGAAGTCTTCGCTCTTTTCTTCTGGATGAGAAGGGCTACTAGACATCCCAGCAGATTTCATCGCAAGCCTTCAGCACCATCTCTGTGATCGACGACGATGGCAAAGACGCATCAAGGAGTTCATCAGTCCAAATGAACCACGGAGTTCGTAAGCCATCCACCTTGACACCAAATCTTTCCAGGAGCTCTTGGACAGCAGGCCACTTCGTCTCCACTTCCCTCCTCATTACCGGAGCTCCAGTCACCAAAACTTTCGTGTGTAGCTCTTGCAAATCCTCCTCGCTGAGAAAGAATGCCACATTCTCTCCCACTCCAGCAGCTTCTAGATCGATCACTCCACATCTCCTCACGCCCTGGTGTTCCACTTGCTGCCACTGGAGAGTAGCATCCTCTTGGCTCACACCACTTTCGATTGCGGCCTTGGAAAACACGTCACTGCGCAACGATGCCCCTCGATCGGTCGTGACGAAGGCAGAATAAGAAGCGGCTGCCAAGGGAATGGACTGGAGTGCCATCCCAGTAGCTTTACTGGCACAAGAATCCTTCCCTTTGAGATCCACCAAGAAATTCCCTGCTCCATTCACACAAGTCCCTTGCAAGAAACTACCGATGGATCCCAATCGCCTGAGAGTTTCCAGCTGACAATCCTTGAGAAGAGTCCACCGCCCTACATTGTCATGCTGTTCTTGGTGCTGGCATCTGGCATGCATCGTGTGATGCTTGGCGAGCATCGCGTGTAACAATTCCCTGCCGCTAGCATTGCTACTGCTGGAATCCTGCTGCTGCAAGAGAACTAGCGCCTCCTTCTTGGGATCGAAGCAAATGCGGAGGGGAGTGATCTCTCTCACCTCATGCTTGTCGCCAACGCTGTCGATCCCTTTGGTGCGCCATTCGTAGCGAATCCGGCAGGAGAGAGGATTGATCGTAGGAATCCTGCTGCCACCACCGGCGATCGTGCGCCAGAATCGCTTCATTCTCTCTAGAGCTTGCCAAGAACCCTAGCTCGTTCTCTTTGTATTGAAAGAATGTGTATGTGTGTTGTGTGCTATGTTTTGACCGCTAAAGGGCTTCTAACTCGTTGCCTTCCATTGGACCACGTCAACCAGCCAAACACAAAACGCCCATTCGTGTGGTCAACAGAGGTCAACTCTACGTTGAACGCTCGTCTCTCCATGTAGGAGCTGAATCTCAGCTCGTCCGGTACCACTCTCACGCGTATCCCTGGCGGCGCCACCACGCTCGCCTTGAACACTGTAGGTGTGGTAACGGCGGTAGAGGCGGAGTAGTCGGAGTTCTTCCTCGCCGGAGAGGCTCCAACGTAGGTGACACTTCTGGAAACAATGACCGTGGCGGCGGTGGTTTTGTTCTGGGACGCGGCGGTGGCGGCGACGCCTCCGCCCAGCCGGGAGACGACGATGGCTGGATAGTTGAGGTTTGAGATGGGGCGGCGAGCGGACTGGGACGATGGACAGATGCTCTTGTCGCCCGTTACCTTTTGGAGGAGTTTGGTGTCATAGCCGGAGCTACAAAGGTAAGCCATGAACTCGCCGGGGCCAGCGTCGTAGACAAGGCCCGGATTGGCAGCTCTGCGGGGATTTACGTGACCGCTTCCATAGTCGAAAGCGTTGGCCACCTTTCCGTGAGGCAGTGTGAGGATTGGCGATCGAGTGTTGTCTTCCGTGAGAGCTAGAACAGGCAAAGTTCACAGATGAATCAAGCTCTTCCTGAAAGTTTGGAACTACCTGTTGTCATGATGGCCGACTTGAGAGCTGCTGGGCTCCAGGATGGATGCGCGGCTTTGAGCAGCGCAACCACGCCAGCGACGTGAGGACAAGCCATGGAAGTTCCGGAGATGATGTTAAACTTTCCTGGCATTCGCTTGCTTCCGGGAGACCATGCCGCGAGGATGTTTAATCCGGGAGCAGCAATATCGGGCTGCCACCATCGATCGAAAGTTGGAGTTAGCTCCTCGGAGAACCATTGCGAACCATTACATATACCTTGAGCACGTCAGGGGTGACCGAGTTGGGACCCCGAGATGAGAAGCTCGCGATCTGTGGAGCGGGTCTGGATCCCAGTACTGTTGCAGTGGGATTGATTCGTGCTACGGGTGTCCTGTTTCCAAGGAAAAGTTTATAAGAACCTGGAGATCAAAGAAAAGCTTAACTTTGTGGAGTTGATGTATGAGAGGATTGCTGCTCCATCTTTCGGGCCAAGGAGCGTTGCTGGGAGAGCAAACGGGACTGCAAGGCCGGAGTCGGCTTGATCGATAAGGATCATCCCCTTGCCACCCGCCGAAAGCACAAGGTCGCTCTTGCCAACCTTTGTGTCGAGGGAGTCTTGAGGATGCATGCAAACGACGATGCTGTTCTTCACCTTAGATGGATCCAGCGAGCCACTGGCGCAATCCCTGCAAGCCAAGAGATTATATAACTTGAGAAAAAGTTGGTTTTTCCTCAAACCTTGCTTGAGCTTTGGTTGAGTTCTTCCTGTTGGCGCTTGAAGCAAGGATGAGTGGAGCAAAGGAGCCTCCCATGCGTGAAGTTGCAAGAGAAGCACCCTGAAAAACAACATCGTCTCAGGCATAAAGATGATACTCGAACAAACGAACCTTAAACACGGTTTTGTTGCCAAGCACAACCTCGGAAACGAACTCCCGATCCATAGAACTCGCAGCCACCGTGATGATCCAAGGAGCAATGTTGGTAGCACTTCCAGTGTTGGTGTCTCCATTGTTTCCAGCTGAACAAGTCACCACAATTCCCTTTTGAAGCGCATGGAACGAGCCGATGGAGATGGCATCCTTGAAGAAATCCGTCTGTGGAGGATCCGGCCCCAGCGAGAGCGTCATAACATCAACGCCATCCTTGATCGCATCATCAAATGCGGCCAAGATATCGGCATCGAAGCAGCCACTCGACCAGCAAACTTTGTAGACGGCGAGCCGAGCTCGAGGAGCTCCACCAACAGCGCTGCCTTTGCCGAGTCCAAAGAAACTTGCGTCGGTAACGTATCTTCCAGCGACGGTAGAGGCCGTGTGAGTTCCATGCCCGCTCGCATCTCGCGGAGAGATATAGTCGAGGCCACCATCTTTTGCTGACGCTAATGGACCTCCCATCTCAGACGCCAGGCCTCGCAAGTAGTATCTCGCTCCCACAAGCTTTCTACGAGCCAAGTAAAGTGATCACAGGTGATCCCACGAAGAACACTTCGATCTGATCAATCTCTCACCTGTTACAGTGTGAAGCATTGAACAGCTCGCCAGCTTCACACTCGCCTTTCCAGCGTGATGGAACCGGAGGCATCAGACTGTCGCTAAAGCTCGAAGACTCTGGCCAGATTCCTGCGTCAAATCGAGCGGGTGGCCGAGGTTGTAAGAAGATCGCAAAGCAAGGAAGAAAGCTTTTGAGCTTACCAGTGTCAAGAACACCGACAATGACATTGGATTGCTGCTTGGAGCTGTGAGGAAGGCTCCTGGCTTCGTGGGTGGGATTGAGGCCTTGCGATTGTTGCAAGCCCAGAAACTCCCACGAGTGTGTCGTGTGAAGCTGCCGCGGCATGCTGGGAAACACCACCACAACGCCATCCTTTTCTGATCGATCGCAGCGTAAGATAACATGAGCTAGAGAAAGATGTTATCGTCACGTACTTGACAGATCGAAGGCCTGTTCTTGAGACAGCCTTGCTGAGAAGCCTCTAAACCCGTGCTTGTAGCTGTACACCATGGACTCCTTGGCTTGATCATAGCTGAAAAAACAGGAACCGTGTATAGTGTGAGATTGGCAGGAAAGAAGAGAGAAAATTGGTTACCCGTTTTGAAAAACGGATGACAAGACTTGATGGTTGTGATCGCAAGTCACCTGAGGATCGTCGTGAATTCTATGACCCATGTAGACAATGTACACCTGGAACAAGGAGGAGAAGTCACATTGGCAAATCCTCCAACAAAGAAGCCTACCTTGCGTCCATCTCCATCTCCAGAAGAAGAAGAAGAAGAAGAAGAAGAAGAAGAAGAAGGAAAAGAAGAAGCTCTCGCGGTGCCGGCATTGCAAGAAGAAAGCACCAGGAGTAGAAGAGAGAGTGCGACAAGCATCCTACTCCAAGAGGCTGCCATCGATCACAGACAATGCGATATGGGCGAGCGAGTTTTCTTGGAGAGAGAGAGAGAGAGAGAGAGAGGAAGAGGCTAGACTCTAGAGAGCTCGACCTAGCTGGCGATCCTGTACTGGCAAGCACCGCACAGAAAATCACACCACAGGAGAAGAGAGGGAAAAGAGAGATTTTTATAGGCACGCCGCACGCCTGTGGCAGTGGAGGCAGTGCGTCACTCACAGCTCCCTTGCCCTGCGACTATCTGCTTGGCGACACCGACACGAATAGGATGCTCGTGACCAAACGCCGTAGAACAAAGACTACTACACTATGGAAGAAAGAAAAGACCCAACGGAGCTTTGATTGAATGATTGAGAAGAAAAACCGCGGAATCTGGATGAATCATGGCTGCGACCAGTGCTTCTCCTGGCTTGCTTACTCAAGAAAAGGAGGGATTTTAGGCCTAGACCTCTGGAAGTGATCGTTTATGTGGAGGAAGATAGTGAGAGCTTTCCTTTATACTCGGTGTGCGTGCGCTCCCGCCGCTCCTCGCTGCCCCACATTCCACTCCAGCTTGTTTCTTGAAACCAATCAAATCATGCTTTCGACTCAGCGGCAGCTGCGTTGTTCTTCCACCACCACCACCAGCACTACTGCCACTACTACGAACGATGTCACCACTTTGTTTGTAAGGCTATGGAGCTCAGCCACGGATTGAAGGAGTGCAAGGCCTCTTTTCCCTCTGATTTGAAATCGATCCAGTGATTCGATGCATTGAATCCAATCAATCAATCTCTCTGGCGACCTTCTTCTCGATGGTGTTTTGGTGGATTGCTTGTACGTACCCAGCCAAAGATAAAGTCAGTGAGGCATGTGGGTGGGTGTCAAAGCTCCACAAAAATTCCCACAGAAATAGATCCACCAAAATGCCACTGGAAAGATTTCCTTTTGTCCTCTTGGTTGGAGGTTGAAACATCAACAAACACGACTAGACTGCATGAGAACATGCGAAGAACATGAGAACATGAGAACATGGCAATCGTGGACAAATATTTCTTAATACCACAACCAAAGTTGCCGCGAAGAAGTCTCGTCTCCACTCCTCCCATGAGAAGTGCCAGTGAAACTTCCAAATTTCTCCAAATCTCTACTACAAATCTCCCGCATTGATTGGAATAGCTCCAAACGAAAATTATGCTCCTCTTTCCTGGCCTGGTCAGTCCAAGTCAGTGGTCAATTGCTGCGAGAGAGAGAGCGACCTTGGAAAAAAGAAAACACTGAGAGAGCTTCTCACCTCTGGTACGCATGGCGATGGCTGTGCAATCCTCTGACAATACATCAAGTGCGAAAGAACTCGTTACTTACGCTGAATGGAACGCTCTGCCAAGACACGAATCTCCTTGCTCATGACCTCCACAGCGTACTGCGGTAGATATCATTCGCGCTCTTCTCCTCCTCCTCTTCTTCCTGCTGCAAACTCTTCTTCTCTAGAACCGGTGACGATGGCGATGGCGCTGACAATGGCGATGGCCGCTGCTCGTTCTCGTCGAGCGAAATCCCCGACAGCTTACACTTCCCAGCCAGCTGCTGCAAGACAGTGGCGGTGATGGCGTCCGGAAGTATCCCCTTCTTCTTCATGTCGAAGTATATGTCTCGCGCGTCCTGGTACCGCCCGGCCTTGACCAGCGCGTCGATCAACAGGTTGTAAGTCACAACGTTCGCACTACACCCGGCCTTCTCCATGTCGCCAAACATCTCAAACGCCTTGCCCATGTTTCCAGCCTTGGCGAATGCCTCGATCATGCAAGTGTACGTGAACACGTCCGGCGTCAGCCCCGCGCTTCGCATCTCTTGCAGCACCTTGTACGCCTCGGACGCGTACTTTGCTCGTCCCAGGCAGTTGATGAGCGTGTTGAAAGTGATCGAGTTCGGCTTGATCCCGCGGGCCTCCATCTCGTCCATGAACTGATAAGCCAGGCCAACTTTCCCAGCCTTGCCGCAGCAGTCGAGCATGGCGTTGAAGGAGACGGTGTTGACAGCCACTCCACTCTTCTTCATCCGCTCGAAGATCTCGCAAGCCAGCTCCGTCTTCCCGGCTCGTCCCACCGCCAGCAGCAGCGAGTTGCAGCTCTCGATCTTCATCGCGATCTTGCGCTGCTCCATCTCGCCAAACAGCTCCACCGCTCGGTCGATCTCACGCCCCCGGCTGAGCGCGTCCAGCACCAGCGCGTACGTGCTAGCATCAGCCTCGATCCCGTCCGACTTCATCTCCGCGAAGATCATGCACGCCTCGCTCACGTTCCCTCGCCGGCTCAAGTTGGCGATGAGAGCATTCATGCTGGCAGCGGTGGCGAAGTGTTTCGAGTCGCGGATCACCTGGTAGACGCCGCGGACCCTCCCGGTCCGGCTCACGGCCGTGATGAGCGAGTTGAGAGTGTAGTCGTCCGGTGCCAAGTTCTTGTCCAGCATCTTCTTGAGCACCACCATGGCCGACTCGATCCTCCCGGCCTTGCAGTAGATGTCGATGACGTTGGTGTAGGCCGGAGCGCTGGGCGTGCATCCCCGCTCCTCCATCTCGTCGAAGAGCAGCGTCGCCTCCTCGTCGCGCTTGCACCGCCCGAGGCTCCGGATGAGGATGGCATACGTGTAGTCATCCGCGGGGCAGCCCATGGATTTCATGCTCGCGAAGAGCTTGCAAGCCTCGTCGATCATGTTGGCTTTGCCCAGTCCATCCAGCACCACGTTGTAGAGGAGAGTGTCGGGCTCCAGCCCGGTCTTGATCATCTTGTCCAGGAAATCCATGGCGAGCACCACATTCCCGGCCTTGACGAGCGACTGGATGACGCACTTGTAAGTGTAGGCGTTGGGCTTGGATCCGTGCTTGTCCAGCTCCTGGAACTCGTCCATCACCTTGTGGATCCTGGAGCTCCGGCCGTAAGCCGCGATCACGGCGTTGGATACCAGGACGTGGTATCTGCAGGGAGTGTCTTGGATCGCGGCCAGCATTCTCTCGAGGACGTCGTACTCGCGAGCGGCGCCCAGGATCATGACCATGCGGCTGCAGCTGTAAGCGTCGAATCCACACTCGGGCTGGCGGCCCGACCAGAGGAAGAACTCGTAGCACGTCTGGACGTCGGTGTGGAGCGCGCGAAGAACACCCTCCACCACGAAGGGCGTGAGGCGGAGCTTGTACTGGTGCTTCATGTCCACCAGCGCGTCGATGGTGCCCGGACCCCAGTGGAGCCACTTGAGGAGCTGCCGGATGGCGGTGATGGAGTCCTCGCCCGGCACCGGCTCCGCGTCGATGGGATGATTCATGCGCGCCACCAGCGGCAAATCGAAGGATGCGGGCTTGCCGATGCTCGCTGGCTTCCCTGGAACGGAGCAGTAGTACCTGATTCGAGCTCGCAGCGCCATGATCGATCGCGCCCATCTCTCATCGCCGCATTGCCATCGCCTAGAACTCGCGAGGAAGACCTAGGACACTTCTCTATGGTGGTAATGGTAATCAAAGCTTGTCTATTTCTTCTTGCAAATTCGAGAACATCATATCCAAGAGAGGAAAATTGAATCGCGCGCGCTTAGAACAAGCTCGTTCCCTTGCCCTTCTTGTCACCACCGATTTCAAAGTGTTTGCACCTCTGGATTTGCAAGAAAGCCATCGATCAGGGACGAGCAAAGAGAAAAATCCCACCTTTAGAGGGTGCTGCGACACGCGCTTGCACGTCTGGCACTGGAGCCGGAGCACGATCTTCTTGGTGGTCTTGGCCTGCATTCATTCAATCGCAGGGAGAGAGCTTAGATCGATTGGAATTTGGAATAGCGAAAGCTTCCTACCTTCTTGTGAAACACGGGCTTCGTTTGGCCGCCATAGCCAGATTGCTTGCGATCGTAACGCCTCTTACCTGTGAACCTCACCGCAATTCAGAGCACGCTCGCGAGAAATCTTCCGGCTCTTACCTTGGACGTAGAGGCTGTCCTTGCCCTTCTTGTACTGCGTGACCTTGTGGAGCGTGTGCTTCCGGCAATTCTTCCCTTGGCAGAAGGACTTCTTCGTCTTGGGGACGTTCACCTGTCGGCATTGGGGAGAGATCTAAGATCTGAGCAGCGAGCGCCTCGCAAGAACATACCATTGTGCCGCTCTTCCAAGCCGCCGAAATGCGCTCCCCCGGGCTCTAGGGTTAGGGTCTTACAGGGTTTTGAGATCGCCGTCGATGGAAGCATATCATCGACGGCTGGCATGTGGCCACGTCATACATCTCATGGATTAGGGCATTGTCTTCATGGGCGCTCCTCTTCCGGGCGCTGCGATGACGGTACGCTGCCTAGATTTTCCAAGAAATGTAGCTCCAATTGTGATTCTTAGGCCAATCTCTCCGCGCATTGCTGCTTGTGCTCGCCGTCGGTGGCCAAGAGGAGGACGCTTCCGGGAAGAATTCTCATCGTTCGAGCTCAATCTGTGGATGCGCCTTCCTCTGGTTCATCCGGAAGGCTCCAATCTCTTGTAGCAGCACCTCTCAAACTGGTACTTCTTCTTTCCTTCTTTTCTTTGGAATTCTTTTCACTGGATTTTACACAGGCTAGCCGTGTTGCGGCTGCTCCTGTCAACTTGGCCGCGGCTGCAGGAGCTGTGGCTACCGTGTGTGTGCTTCTTTTGATCAGAGAATTTGTGCGATCACGCAACGAGGTGGGAGGCTCCGTGTCAGATCTGATCAGGAGAGGACAGCTACGATCCGATAGAAACGTCAGGCCCGAGTAAGTTGGTTTTCCTTTATGAATCTTATGGTTGCTCTTGTTTGATTGTAGCTCGAGACCTTTGAAATACGAGGATCCTTTCAACAATCCTCTGGTAAAGATCGGCAGTAAGAATCCGATCGTGAGAATGTGCGGCAAAATCTTCAGGCTAACTCCAGTGACTTTGACGGAGGAGAAAGTCGTGAGCCACCAGAACAGGAGGATACAAGCTTATCATTGGAGGAGGCCCGTTGTGTTCCTTAACGAGGGAGACCCTGTGCCCGAGGGTGTAGACCCGGAAGAAGTAAGGTGGATACCATCAAACCACCCGTTCGCCACCACCCAAGACTATATTGACGAAGAGCTGGCGCAAAAGAACGTGTACCAGACCCGTGGCGTTCCGTCCCGCGTAAGAGCCGAGCACGAGGCCCTTCGGAAGAAGATGAAAGAATCAGTCCAAAAGGTGCGTTTCTTGCTTTTCTGTGCGTGCTCGGTACTGAGTCGATCAGAGTTGGGATTGGCTCCAGGCCCGAGAGGATACTATCCAAGATAAGACTTTATCTCCTCCCAGCGATCGCGATCATCTGGAAAGCAGCCAGATTCTTCCGTGAGGCAGCAAAGCGAGGTGAAGTGAGGCGTCGAAGTGGGAATAGAATTTCGTCTGTTACTTTGGTCGAGGTGAAGTGGTGTTCGTGGGAGTTGCCAGCAGGTGAGTGCTCGGGTTTAAGAAAATCTAACCGATTTGGTTTGCAAAGCATGTCCAGGTGTTTGTGGTCGCTCATGAGACTTGGCTTTGTCTGGAAGAGTCAAAAGCGCACTAGCCATGATACTGATGGATGGAGAACTTTGGGCAGTGATAGCTATTATATTCCAGCACTGGGAAGGGGAATGCACTGTTCTGAACGGCCTCTCTCAACCAACCCGGCTCTAGTGTCCATTGCGAGTGACGCGAGGCAGCTCTGGTGTGTGGTGCTGCTAGTGGCATTGGTGGGGTACTGGAAAGAAAGCTATCCTGGATGTGACACCCGGGTCTTAACATATCTGCTGCCAATACATAACAGTGGGAGGAAAGAAAGCACGACAGGGACAGACTCGGAGAAAGAAAGATTAACGACGACTCTTATCACCGTCGTCGAGCAATTCGTGTTTCTTCCAAGTCCGAGCGGAACCGATCCGAGCCTAGCCGAGCCGAAACCGAGCTGAAATCAGATAAAGGTTGTCTGGGAAGAAGATGACGAAAAAGAGAGCGACTGGTGCTCCTGCTGCTGCTGTTGCTGCTGCTGCTGCTGCTGCTGGTCTTCGAGCCTGGAAGGGGCGTGAAGACTTCTCCGGCATGATGGACATGACGCATGAGCAATGAGCCAGACGTCGACGCACTCGACATGGAAGCCGTGGTAACAGTCGGGAAGGATCCGGACTCTGTCCCCGTCGGTGAATTCGCAGAGACAGATTGTGCACTCGGTTCCGACCACGCAGCCCAGCTCCAGATTGTCTTTGAGATTTGCTGCCGAGTAGTTGACAACGGGAAGCGCCTCCACAGCTCGCCGGTTGCTGCTCCTGTTCTTCTTGGACAGACTGTTACTCATGGTGAAGTCCTCGGAGGAGGCCTCGAGGTCCAGATCACGGGGCTCCCTGGGCAAATCACTGTTCCTTCTCGACCGTCGCCTCCTCATCCATCGCCGGAGGTCTGTGGAACTGAAAGCTGGAACCAACCTCACGATGCTGTCCCAGCGAGCCATGCAGATGAGAATCACCAAGAGGATTGCGACGACGATCATACTTCCCAGGAACACTGCCGTCTTGTACACGGTCTCTCCACCTCGCGGCCTCCATGGCTGCGGCTGTGGCTGCTGCGGCCGATGCTGCGGCTGATGGGGCTGTGGCCTGCCTGGCAGTGGCGGAAACAAGCGGTCGTGGTCGTGGACGTCTCGAGGCGGAAGAGGGCCGGGTTTCTTCTTGAGAGCCATCGCGAAACTCTGGACTGGAGCTCGGCTGCTCTTCTTCCTCCTGCACAGCAACCAATCGTCAGGCAGTCGTGTTTGGAGCTAATGTAGCCAACCTGGATCTGGATTGTAGCTCGAATCTACAAGCCAGAAGCAGCAAACAGCAGCGGCGATGGCACTGGATTTAGTGACTGGGTGTAATTAGCTGCCTGTCATCTCATCTCCGAGCTTGACAAGAGCGAAGAGAAGAAACTGCAAAGTGGGGTGAGGTCAGGGAGAAGAAAGAGAGGGCAGCATTCTTTCTTTTTCTTCTCGCTCGGCTCGCTCCTCAGTACACATACACACGTAGCCGTACAAGCAAACACCGTTTCAGCAGTTAAAAGGGGTTTAGCAAAACTGTGAGGAAAGATCTTGTTTACGAACTTTTCCTGTAAACAAAGAGTCCTCCGAAACTCCGTTACAGCAGTTACGAGACCAACTTTTGAAAAGGCAACTCCCTGGTGTAGAATAAAATCAATCAGTTATTCAGCTGCTTGCATTTTGCGAGTAGCTTTTTATTCTTGAGGCAATTACAATTAATAGCATTCCAAAGCTTGAGATAAACTTCTTAGCATCTAGAGTCATTAGGGAACTCGAAAACTGCCACTGCCGCTGCAACGTTCTTGAACGCACTAGAAGACCGTGGAACAGCACTGATATAAATATTCACATCCATGTTTTTGAGAGAAAAAATGTGATGCATTAAAGGACTTTAAAAAAACTAAGGAACACCTCTAGAAAATAAAGTTTTAAATTTGAATTTTATTTCCACTCTTTCATAAAATCCAAAATTATTTATTTTACATTTTAAATTAGAAGTCAAGCTGTGAACCTTAATAAGCCTAAGTCAAAAATTCATCCATAAAACAATGTATAACATCATGAGAGTAATAATAGTTACCTTAGTATTAATAATACATTTTAAAGTTTTTTCTGGACAACCTAGTATTAATGTTGGAGATATGAATTCTATAAATGAAATAGTTGTAAATGCTATTATACAAGCTATTACAGATGCAATTAATGCTATACCAGATAATCCACTTCCTTCAAGACAAATGTTTTATGGAAATATTGTTGGTAAAAATCCAGAAACAAGAACTTATACCATTATAGGATATGGTGCTTTTTTCTTACAAAGAATTGGGGAAACTTGTAATATAGAATCTGGGGGGCATTTAGAATCTGGAGCTACTATAAGACAATCAATAAGTGGACTTTTTCAAGAAATAACTGAAAATTTAATAAATGATGCTGCCTCATATTTCATTGTAAGAAATAGCCAATTTCTTATTTATTATTTTATTAGAAATTTTAATGGTCAACAACAAAGAAGGCAACAAGATTTAGCACAACATACTAAATGTAATATTTTTTCTAGCATGTTGATAAGTGGTTCCTTCAATATGCCGTATCAGTATTTGTTATCAACACAATTTTTAATTTCTTCAAATAAAAAAACATATATGTATTTAAGTATTGATTGTAAATTAGGTATATATAATGGTAAAATAGACTTATGGTTTTCAAAGAATTTAATTGAAGGAAAAAATTGCATTTTAAGATTACAAGAAGATGGAAATTTAGTTTTATATTCTTACAATAATAAAGTTGTTTGGTCATCAAATACTAATTGTATGCAATATAATTGCTATAAAAATACATATTTAGTAATACAAAATAATTGCAATTTAGTTTTATATACTATTTATCAGAAATCATTTAATATAAACCCTAAATTAGAAGCTATATGGGATTCAAAAACATTTTGCTAAAACTATCAGTTCAGTGCATTTTTAGTATATTATTCAATAATAAACATAACTATATACTTTCTTATATTTAATTAAATTAAATTAGTTTATAATAATAACTAATTTATATTTAAACTATTCTATACTTATAGGAAGTTAAATGCAAGCATAAAGCACTAATATTAAGTGGAATTTAAGTGTTAGCTCCCTAGCATATACTAGGAAAAGAAAAGAAAAATAAAACAAACTTTGAAAAAAATTACTATCCTTAATAGCATTTATATCTTGGGAAGAATATACACTATTGTTTCAGCCATTTTGAGTTCCTTTAAAAGAAAAATTTCATCATAATATATGGGTACTAGCAAATTATAGGGGTTTATGACATGGAGATAAACAATATCTATATGATTATACTATGCAATCAAAATTCTAAACAAAAATATTTTTAAAATATTAACAATAATCTAGATATATCTAAACTAATTACTTTACTACATATTTTATATAGTCTTAAATCTAACTATGTGATATGCAACAACATTTTGGTTTGCTTAATAGTAGTTGTAAGATCCAAATGTACAGCTATAATGTCATATATTAATATTAGCATAGTGGGATTTTGATAGCTGTAGAATTGATTTCATTTCAAACCATTTGCTCATGTATATAAACTAAGGTTTTTGGGTTAATTGATATTCATATTTTTGTATTTTATTTCCATATTTCATACATTCATATTGGTGTAGGTGAGGGGCAACTTTGATTATCTCTAAGGCATGTTTGGATTTAGGATTTTGATTTAGATTTAGCTTTTGTATTGTTTAGATCTCCCTTTCTTTATAGCTTTTTTGATTTCTTCTTTTTTACTTTCTTCTTTTCGTTCATCTTCATGGTATAATAATAGCCTCTTCCTTTAACTTTGGAGTAGCAAATGGTGTAGTTGCTCAATGTTATGTGGTTATAGTTGAATAATTAAACCCAGTTGATGGCAATATTCATGGCACATGGTACAGCTCTTCCTGCTTTTGATGCCAATCCTCACGTTCAGCTGAAGTTATTCCATAGATGATGTGTATAATCACTTTATGATAATTGCCTTATATCATTATTAGAATGATGTTTAGCATTTGCGTAGTTTCCCATATGTCTCTAAGGGACAATACTATAATGGTACAATGGTTTGAGCACAGCCACTTATAAGGATTGGAGCATTCTCCTGAACATCTTTAAATACAAATTTAGACATGTTAATAATTGTGATAATACCTTCCAACAATTATATTATTTTTGTCAAGGGCCATTTGAGTCAGTGATGCAATTTGGCATCTATTTCTAAAACTTTTTGCTTCGTGTGGAGCCAAATATGTTGGGGCGGATTAAATTGGGAATGTTGTGGCCAGCATCTTATCAAAATTTTGTAGAACTTATGTATGCACTTGTTTTAACCACACTTGACAATGCTCTTTATTTAACACAACGTTATCAGACATTACCTCTTCCACTTCTTATTACACATCCTTTAAATCCACTTCCTATTTGCAATGGTCCTATTCCAATAAGGTTGATGTTACTTCTATTCGAGTTCAAAGATAAAAGTGAAGATGTGGTTGTGGCCATGATATTTGCTGTTGGGTGTGTGATAAAGTTGGTCACACTTATTGGTGTTATTGTTGTTTTTTAGATTAGCAACCTCTATTTCCTAGGTAAAGACCTTAGCATCAACAACATCTTATTCGTGCTACTACAATAGAAAGTTTAGACACTGAGATGTTTATGGAAAATAAAAAGTCACACGAGTAACAGAGGGTCCTCACGTAAATAAGTCAGTGACCTCTCTATCTTTCTTTTGAGAGTATTATCAAGGGATTCACTTGGCACCAATTTATTCAGTGTTTACTTTTCAAACTTATTTTTATAACAAAAGGTTTCCTATTATTCTCTCTATGTTAGTTAATACAAGCATGAGTTTACCTTCTATTTCTTGGCTTATTACCACACATTGCCATCTACATTTGTGTCATGTGGCAAAGTTAGTTTTCATTCTTTATGACAACAACCATACATATGTATATGCACGGGATGAGGTGAACCTAGTTATGTATGTGGGCAATTTCAAGCTTGAGCTACAGTTATTGCAAATAATGTTGAGTTAAGCTTTTGACCTCATCCTTGATATGGATTAGTAATAGCATAATCATGCCAAGTGTGACTTTGAAGCTTCTCCTCATTGTCTTATACTTTTTTATATTTCTTCCATTTCTCTCACTTATATTCATTTTCATCCACCTCTGTTTGCATCACTTTTGTCTCCCTATTACTTCCTCTTATATTTCTGTTTTGTTCATTTATTCCCTTTTCAAATCCCTCTAACAATCTTTGTATTGTAGTGGTTGATCGGCTCAATAAGGAGTATACTTGTTGCAAATGTGACTTCAAGTATTGAAAATTACCTATCGGCTAGTCCTTACGGACACTCTTACCATACTGTCACGATGGCAAGAGGTTAGTATTGCTAATTCCCTTTATTGGCCCCTCTTGTTCAAGTGTTAGTAAACTAGGCTTAGCATCTGTACTTGGCCGGATGAGCATAAGGAAGGAATTCCTAAGTGTCTATTTAGCTGAGCATACTTGGCCCGGCTTGTTAGTTCTCTTTTGCACTGTCTTGCATTGGCTTGACAAGAACCCTCGCGTATTGAGATTGGTCCCTCAATATCGCTGAATGATAGCTTACCGTGTCTGCCAAACACCCTCGCTATTATGCCCTTTGTATTAGTCTTATTTCGGTCCCAAATGCTATTTATGGAAAGTGTCCAGATTTGCTCATTTGGCATATCTACAGAATGTAGAGATTGGCTTGAACACAATGGTGTTCGTTCCATATCCAAATTCGCAATCTAGTGCCATTCCATATCTAGTAAGTTTCGAGCTTGTCCCAGAGATTAACTCCTAATACTAAGGGAGGCTTGGGGTGAAAGCCCAAAGAGTGTGTTCCTCAAGGGGCGGGGGGGAGGGGGGCTATGGGGGGTTCCAAATATATAGTAAGGATAGTGGGTAGGTCGGGCATGGCCGACCAACTTGAGGCATAGTTTAGCTCTTGCTTGCATGCCTGTTCTTGTTTTGCGTCCGACTTGGGTCTAAGCTCAAATTCTATTCCATGCTAGTTGGTGGAGTACCCATGTCCTTGCGTTAAGCCACCGGTATGCCGAAATAGCGCCAGACTCCGTTTGGCTCCGTTTTGCGTGCTGGTCCTAGCATTGGGATGCTAGTTGCTCCAGGATTGTTCCAAATCGCTCCGGGCTCTTGTCCCTTCGCTCCTTAAGCTATATGCTTGGGAGTTGCTCCGTGGTTCAGTTCCGTTGCTCCTATGCTCCATGCTTGGGAGTTTGGCACTGTTCCTTCATTCAGTGGCCCAAGGCCCTGAACTCATGTTCCACACCACTGTCCTTTGGACACGTGGCACAAAGAGGGTTTAGGTTTTGCTTCGTGGTCTTATCCTATGGTAAATCACCATAGGATAAAAGGGTCAAAACCACATGCACTACAATATCAATCTCTTTGAATTTGACCTATCATCTGGGACTAAAATAGCAGTATGTTATTTTATTCCCATTGGGAATGCTAGTTCAATCAAGATTCATGTTTGTCGTCGATCACCAAAAGAGATGAAAATTTTATATGCAAACATCAAGGAAATATTAGAAAAGGGTGTTATTCGAAAGTTGCGGAATTCTTGAATGTGTAAACCTCATCTTGTGACAAAGCCTAATAGGAGTATTCACTTTTGCATTGACTATTGTATATCAAACAAAGTAACAATCCCAGATGTGTATTTTATTCCTCACATTGCTGATCTCTTGGATCATCTGGGAAAAGTCATTGATTCGCTAAGTTAGATATTGTTTTTGGGTACTAGCAAGTGTCAATGGTCAAGGAAAAGATCCTTAAGATTAGTTTTTATACACTATTTAGTTTGTATAAGGTTTTGGTGATGCTGTTTGGTTTGAACAATACTCTAACAACCTTTCAGTAGATGACGGACAAGGTTCTTTAGAATACGCTAGAAGTGATTGCTAACTTCATCAATAATGTTTTCATGCACTCAAAGGGGATGTGGGAGGAACATATTTGTGCTATTCGTAAGGTGTTAGATTAGCTATCAAAAGTTGATTTAAAACTAAAGTGGTCGAAGTGTTTGTTTAGGTCCAAGGACATGCTTTATCTTGGGTATTATATTTCTCATGAGGGAAAGATGATCTTGATAAACTTGTGGATATTCTGAAGTTTTGTATTCCAAAGTGTGTGAACGATATGTAACACTTCTTGGGCAAGGTACAGTATTTTAGTTGTTTTGTTGATCATCTTTCTAATCGCACTACACTGTTATGAGTGTTGCTGAAGTCATCAACATTATTTTTCATCTGGTTTGTGGACTGTGAATGGGCATTTGTGGACTGTGGATTTGAAGGCTTCACGATAGATTTGAGAATTTTGCATCACTTAATAATGATTTACTATTTTGGCATTTACATTCTTAATATCACCATGAGAACCGTTTTCTTTATTTTGTGAGAACAGATCCTAATGATTATTTATAGCTAGTGGTGCCTTCAATCTTTATTTCATGCTTTCTTCATAGCTACCATGATTCTCTTATTTTAGGTAGGCATATAGGATATCTTCTTATGATTAAGAACCTATACAAGTCTTTTGATTGGCCAAAGATGCAACGTGATATTAATTGGTATGTGCATAGTTGTATTTGGTGCTAAACTCTTAATACTCCCCCTAGTAATAGAAGGATAATTAAAGTTAATTGTAGTTTTCCGTCCATTTGAGTTAGTGGTGTTTGATTTGATAGAGCCTCTTCCATAGTCAATTATTGACAATGAGTATGTCATTATTGTTTTTGATTACATTACTTGCTATGTGGAAATTGAAGCTCTTGCTAGTGTGTTTGTAATTGCTATTTGATACTTCTTCCTCAATTGAATAGTGTTTTAATATTGTTGTTCAGAGTGAATTCTTTTGGATAATAGTCTTTCATTTATGGCTAAGGCATTTTATGTTTTGACGTCTCATTTGGGGATACACCACATTTTTATGAGTGCTTATTATCCACAGTCAAATGGTTTGGTGGAATGACTCATTTAGATCTTCAAAAAGATGATCATGAAGTACATGAACTTTTAGCATTCGAATAGAGATGGTTATTTACCATCTTTTAAATATATATATGTCATAGGGCTATAAAGTTTTGTTGATGCTTTACCATATAAACTCTTTTATAGTTATGATTCAATATTACCAATAGAGTAAGTTTACCTTTGCAATTGGCATAAACTACTGATGTTAAGTTTTTGGATCAGTATTTGACAAGTATTCTTCCACTTATTGCAATAGAGTTTACTAAACACCTAGGCCATGTACAAATAGGATAACAACAACACTACAACTCCCATCATCATCCACTTATGAAGTACAAAGTGAATGACTTGGTGTTAATCTATTTTCTTAATTTTATGGTATGTGGTTTGTTTAAGGGGCTCATTGTTCAATGGAAGGGACTATATTGAGTGTTATAGCAAGTTAGACTGCAAATTTATAAAGTTTGGCATGACATCTAACAAGCTAATCCTCTAGAAATTATGCATGTTCAATAGCTTAAACACTTTGTACAAAGGGATTAAAAATAATTGACACCACCTATAAATTCACTAATGCCTCTTCTTGATATTCCTCCAGATTCTAGCCCATCCACAAAAGAACCTTGATTATGTTCTATCATTCCAAAAGGAGGGGATGATGTGAACTCAAAGTGTATGGCTACAATGTCGTATATTAATATTAGTATAGTGGGATTTTAATAGCCATTTTAGATTAAAACCATGATTGGTTTTAATCTAAAACTTTTCTATATAAACTAAGGTTTTTGGGTTAATTGACATGCACATTTTTATATTCCATTTCTATATTCTATGCACTCATATAGTGTAATTTTTATTTATTAATCTAATTAATCAAATGGTAGTTTATAATTATAAACATGCTCATAATTTATAACACAAGATTAATCTTATTTAATATCAAGAATAAAATAGAATATACTAGGAAGTGCTTAGGAAAGTTTATAAATTATAAACAACAAGATTAATCTAAATGAATAACAACCATTAGATGGTAGAATATCCTAGAATTTCCAAGAATATTTTATTTATATTTCTAAGCAAACCAAAACGGTAAAATAAAGTTATAAAAGAATAATTAACTTAATCATTATTACATATTTTTAAGGACAGTTGCATAGAATGTATCGAGCATCAAAGCATTTTAGGCGCCCCATGAGAAAAATCTATATTTGAAAGAGTATAAAGTAGCCTTTGCAATCATAAAATATAAAATCATATCACTCAAAGGAGATTTATGAATCTGAATAAACTTTTTAACTTACCAAAACTTCCTACTTACTATTTTGATATCCTAGTGGATCATTTTCCCAATTGCCCTCAATTTGTTTCAGACAAAAGCTCTCCTCTTTTGACATCTTGGGTTCAATCTTATGCTTTCATTTGGACTCAGTTATATTCAAGAAATTTTTTTAAAACCAGTTGTAGTTCATTATATAAGAAATTCTTTTTAAACCAGTTGTAGTTCATTATATTACATGTTTGAATCCAGAACAACACCATTTAAACTTAAGCCAGTTGAGTTGAGAAATTGGTCAACAGAAGAGCATATGGAGTGCTTGTTTTGGAGCGGGTGACAATGTCACCACTACATTATTATGTGCAAAGAAAACCTACCACAAATTTCTTGCTGCAACAAATGTCCTGCAAACACCAACTTGTGCTGGAACAGTTAGTCCAGACCAAAAGGAAGAAAAAGAGAAAAACGAAACAACTTAAGTGTACAGACCTATTCTAAACCGCACAGGTTTCCACCGTACAGCACCAAAGTCCCCTTGGAACCCACCACCACAGCCACCAGCAGACTATTTAAAACCCAGCACAAAATTAGATGCTGAAAGAACAGAAAAACAAATGCAAGCTCACAAATCTGCAACACGAGACTACAGTCCAAACCTTCAAAAGTGTCATTCCGACGACTAAATGACTACCACAACTAGAAGGACAGCGTCTCGTAGGCATCGAGATTATGACTCCTGCACCGAAAGAGCGCAACTTTTAGACTCTGCTACTTGGTGAAAGCCAACAAATGGAATCTACTTACATCGGGGTCGGTGTTGTAGGGGCTCTGGATATCGACGCCGATGCCAGCGGGACTTACGGGTCCTGGAGAAGCTTCACGCTTTCCATTGGAGTAGCTTTTCTCTGGCGACAAACTTCGGACTGGAGACCGCTCGCTTTTCCTGCAAAGTAGATGAGAAATGTGTCCAGAAGGAGACGTTTCTTACCTTGCTTGCTCCAAAGGACTTGCGTCTCTGTTCGCCGTCGTCACTGGCCTTGGTGATCCCAACGCTGTTTCCCGGACAGGACTCGATAACCGAGCTGGAGCAGGACTGAAAGAGAGAAAAGAACCTCAAAAAGCGTGTGCTAAAGATCAGGAGGCAATGCACGCGTACCTTAGTGGTGCTGGTGACGAGTTAGTACGTTCGACGGGCCTTCCTCTTGCCTCGCGATGATCATCTTCTGCATAGCGGTCCCTGCTCCGGCTCCTACTTCGGCCGCCTCTTCCAACCTCGGCATCAAAGCGATCCCGCTCGTATCTTTCTTTGGTCCGACCAACGTCGTGTGAGTCCCGGCTTCGTTCATGTTGATGCCTGTAGTCACGTTCGTGTCTATCTCTGCGCTCGTATCTGTCTCTCATGCGATCGTGCTCATAAAAGTGATCGTCCCGGCTTCGTTCGTGCTCGTATCTGTCTCTTCCGCGGAAGTTGTCGCGATAATCCCTCCCTCGTCCATACTCTTCCCTGTATCGACTGTGCAAAAGATTCACGTCAGCTGCCGCCAACCATTTCTATGAACTGTAAGAAAATGGCCAACCTTGGTCGTCTCGGGCTCCGACTCCGTGACCTGCTGCATATGGACGTTGTTATTCTTCCACAATATCTGCCAGAAGCAAGCACATTGTTCTGAGCACGATCCGCGAAGAAATGAAGGAAGAAAAACAAGCAGCCACGCAGAAAATCTAATCATCTAAGACTCCTGCATTTTGAGAGATCAAATCGTGGATCGTGTCGCCTCCCTCCCAAAACAGACTCACATCTTTTCATCGTTCCGACCATACTTTGCAAACTGTACTGCAATCTGCCTTCCATCAATGGTCATACCTGCGTGATGCTAGGGAAATTAAACACACAACCATGACTTACGTTGATTCAGAGTTCTTGTCATACTTTGCAAACTGAACCATGATGTTACGTCCGTTCAGATTCTTACCTGCGAAAAAAAACGCGCATTTGTCACTGGAGCTCACGGAAAACAAGAAAGAACAGCACAAAATGCAATGCATGTACCGTCCAGTCTATCGATCGCCTTTTGTGCTTCATCCACATGCTTGTAGCGTACAAATGCGAATCCTCGTGACTCACCAGACCTAGAGAATGGAAGATAGTCAAAAGAGAGCAAAGAAAAAAACCAAACAACCAAAACAAAAACGGTTTATTTTTTGCTCTCTAGCTTACAAACCTGCGATCTCTGGGGATGAAAATGTCCACAACTTTGCCGTAGCGATCGAAGAGAGGGTAGAGATCATCGGCGGTAGTTCCTGCAGTCCCACATTTTCATTTCATTACATCGCTCGCGAATTGGAGATCATGGAAGAGAAAAGGGAGCGATCGATCGATCGATCGATCCAAGCTTACTGAATGTGATGTTGAGGACGAGAAGCGAGTACGTATCCCGTATGTCGGGCGGGCCGGCACGTCCGAAATGCGACATTGTTCCCTCGACAATGGCGCATGCATCCACACAAACCCTAGAACGAAGAAGAAGAAGAAGAAAGCCAACCACAAATCCAACAGCCCAGATGCGCCCACCGTTCGATCCCCCATCCAACGGCTAGGGATTGGAATGCGCAGGAATGACGCCTCTATCGATCGAATCGCGCTCGTTTTGCGCGGGTGTGGGCAGTCGCGAGATCTCTCCGCGGCCAGGCGAGCGCACTCTCGGATCCGCGAGCTGGATCTCGGACCGGACAGGTATCTCGCCAATCTGCTGGTGGAGATGTATGGGCGGTGTGGCTCCGTGCACGAGGCGCAGTGGGTCTTCGATGCGATCCCTCGCCCCAATCTCTTCTCGTGGACGCTCATCCTCTCGGCGTATGCCCAGAACGGGTATCTCGCCCGGGCAGCGGCGATCTTCCGCGAGATGCCGCACAGGGACGTGGTGCTATGGAATTCGATGATGAATTTCCACGCGCAGGCCGGGGACGCGGACGAGGCGAGAGCCATCCTCGATCGAATGCCGGCGCTGGAGACGATCTCTTGGAATGCGGTGATCCAGGCGTATGCCCAAGAAGGGCGTGTGGAGGAAGCAGCAAAAGTTTTCATAGAGGTCCCGGAGCGCGATGTGGTGTCGTGCACGACGATGATCGGGCTCTACTCCCAATCATCGCAGCCCCAAGAGGCGGAGAGGGTCTTCGATCGAATGCCGGAACGAGACATTGTGTCGTGGAACGCAATGATCCAGGGATACGCCGACAACAATCGCCCAGACCAGTTCCAGGAACTCTTCAAGAATCTCCCTGAAAAGAATGTGGTTTCGTGGACGAGCATGGTGGCTGCGCTCGCGCAATTTGGCAAGATCTCTGGTGCCAGAAAGATCTTTGACGTGATGCCGCTGGCGAGCGCAGTAACCTGGAACACGATGCTTCAGGCATATGCCCAAGCTGGGCATTTGGACGATGCGAGAAGCCTTTTTAATTATATGCCTGAGAAAGATCCTATATCGTGGACAGTGCTACTCATATTGAACGCGCAGAATGGCCATCTTGACTACGCAAAGATTTTATTTGAAGCAATGCCCAAGCACAGCCTTGTTTGCCACAATGCAATGATCCAAGCAAATGCCCAGTCGGGTCATCTGGTTGCTGCAGTAACGCTGTTCTTGGGCGTTGTAGAACGAGACGTGGTATCGTTTAACGTGGTGTTGGCAGCTCTCGCACACTCTTCTAAAGCTGGAAAAGCCCGCTCTGTTTTCGAGAGGATGCCACAGTGGGACTTGGCGTCGTGGAACACCATGGTTTTTGCATATGCCCAAGGAGGGTATGTTGCTGCCGCGAGAAAAGTGTTTGATGAGATGAGAAGCTTCCGCGACGTCGTGAGCTGGAACACGCTCGTCTCGGCCTACGCGTCTGTCGGGCGGATGGACAAGGTGGAGGAGATGTTTGAGAAAATCCCGCAGCGCGGCGTCATCACTTGCAACTCGATGATCGCCGCCTACGCGCAGAGGTGCTGGCGATCGGGCAAGGAAGCGAGAGCTCTCTTCCACGCAATGCAAGAGAGGAACCTGGTGACTTGGAACGCGTTGGTCCAGGCTTACGGCATCAACAGACAGCCCCGGGAGGCGAAGGCTGTGTTTGACAAGATGGCGAGGCACAGTCTCGTTTCTTGCAATGCCATGCTCTCGGCCTATGCTTGTGCTGCTCTCATGGTCGACGCAGCCATGGTGTTCGATCTCATGCCTTACAAAGACACGGTTTCATGGAACACCTTGATCGCTGGTTATGCTCAGAACGGACACATGAGCTCTGCGTGGCACTTCTTTTCGAATCTCGAGTTCGCCGACTCCATTTCCTGGAATGCAATGATCGCTGGCTATGCCCAAAACGGGTATAACAAAGAAGCAATCGAGCTAGCCAGGTTGATGGACCTCGATGGCCGCGTGGTAGCCGACGAAGTCACACTGCTCAGCGTGTTGACGGCTTGCTGCCACAGCGGAGTGATAGAACGCGCTTGGGAGTGTTTCCTGTCCATGCAATCCGATCGTGGACTGCGTCCACTTCTCGAGCACTACTCGTGCATGGTGGGAATCTTGGGAAAGAATGGACAGCTTGGTCTGGCGAGGGAGCTTATAGAGACGATGCCATTCGTCCCGGATTCCGTGATGTGGACGACACTCCTGGCATCTTGTAAACTTCATGGTGACGAGGAGATTGCGAGCAGGTCCGCCGAGGAGTCATCCGAGCTCAGCCAGGCCAACTCGGCTCCTTACATGCTTATCTCCAACATGTACTCGATCGCTTGAGACGCTGCTGGATTATGGAGACAAGGATGGAAGGAAGCATCGCGAAAGTGGAGCGAGCAAGGAATTCATGGATGGAGATGGATTGAATGCGCAGCCGCAATGAAAAAAAAGGAATTTTTGCGTGCTCGGGAGTGTTATCATGCTGTGGCACACACATCGCTAGTGTGCGCTGCGCAGCTGTGATGTTAAAGTAACAAAGTGGGAAGGAAAGAAGCAACGTGGCTGCTTAAGAAATGTATTCTAATGCGGAGAAGATCAAGGCGACTACCCCGACTTGACCACGCAAGTCTCTCGGACTCAAGTAAGCTCTGCGCGACTGGCACTTGACCCCGGGTTGAAGCAAATCTCCGCACACGCCACGAACAAAGAAGAGTTTCTAGATGCTTGCTGCGAGGCCAAAGTCGTACCTCCACATGCAAGTCCTCCCGTCCGTCACCCAAAGTTTTTAGTTTCTGTGGCGTGTTTCGAAGCGACCAAACTGGCGCGGCAGCGAAGTTGTCGTCTCAACCGAAAAGGCAGCGCTCGCTCGACGATGATTGCTCACCGTCTCTTTCACGCTCCGGAGGGCACAAGCACGGGAAGAATAGTATTTCTTCTCGTCAGTGGACAACCAATTCTAACAAGTGCTCCCACACTGGACTAAGTGCGACCCCACGGCGAGAATACCGTAGCGTCTTCGCCCTGCTCATTCTACACTGAGGTCACTATAAAACCGGGACGGGACCATCCAAAATCCAAACTTGCAAAGCGAAAGAAGCCGCAATGGCCTTGACAGCCATCACTGCTGTGCCTGGCCTCTTGTTCATAATTCTCAGCATCCTCTCGTCGAACAAGGCTGCAGGCATCGATGACGAGCGTCAGGTACTTCCACTGGCATCCTTTTGCATATATTTACGACTTGTTCTTTTTTTGCAGATCTATATCGTCTATCTCGGTGGAAAAGGCAGTCGCCAGAGTTTGGAGCTGGTCCAAAGACACAGCAAGATTCTCGCATCTGTCACAAGCAGGCAAGAAGTGATCGTGCTCCAAAGTATAGCCCGGACTGACTTTAAAAACTTACATGACAGAGAAGTAGAGTCCCCTGAGATCGTGTACAGCTACAAGCATGGATTTGATGGATTTGCTGCCAGGATGACCGCTAAGCAGGCAAAAGCCATAGCAGGCAAGCCATCGCAAAAAGCTCTTCTCCCGGATGATTCAATTCTCCTGCTTGGCTCTGGTCATAATTACAGGACTGCCGGACGTGGTCAGTGTGTTCCCGAGCAAAACTCTGCAGCTGCATACAACACGGTCCTGGAAATTCCTGGAGACTTTTTCGACGGGGCTCTTGTACTCCAGAAGCAAACTTGGAGAGGGGGCCGATGTCATTGTTGGCGTGCTGGACACAGGTACAGAGTTGAAAGAAGAGCCTGGGAATTGATACCTCTTCCTGCTTCAGGTATATGGCCAGAGTCTGCAAGTTTCAGCGACGATGGAATGTCATCTCCTCCCAGCCGATGGAAAGGATTCTGCAATAACACCGGTGTGAATTCCACGCAGGCCGTGAATTGCAACAAGTAAGTTAAAGTTAAAACTGTACCGTTCTAGATTATATTTTTTTCCTGCAGCAAGATCATCGGAGCTCGCTTCTACAACGCCGAGAGCGCCAGAGATGACGAAGGCCACGGATCACACACCGCATCCACCGCGGGTGGCAGCGTCGTCTCCAACGCGAGCATGGAGGGTGTTGCCAGTGGAACAGCCAGGGGTGGACTCCCATCCGCCAGGCTCGCAGTGTATAAAGTGTGTGGGAGCGTCGGCTGCTTCGTGTCAGACATCCTCAAGGCCTTTGATGACGCTATGAACGACGGGGTGGATCTCCTATCACTTTCGCTTGGTGGCTCGCCGGATAGCTACGACGAGGATGGCATCGCGATTGGAGCCTTCCATGCCATCCAGCACAACATCACTGTCGTTTGCTCTGCTGGGAATTCTGGTCCCGACGAATCGTCCGTCTCCAACGCGGCCCCTTGGATTGTCACGGTCGGAGCAAGCACCATTGACAGGTCCATTTCGTCCGACATCTATCTCCGAGATGGAAAAACTCTTCGGGTGAGCAAAAACTTTGTCTTCACCTTTCTCATTTTACTACGCAGGGAACGGCCTTGAGCTTTCAAGCTCAGAAGAAACCACCTTACAGCCTCGTCCTTGGCTCTTCAATTCCTGCTAACAAATCTATCCGGGCCTCAGCAGCCAGGTGAAAGTGCTTCAAAATCTCTTTTTCTTTTCTTTCCAATGGTTGCTCACAGCTTACTTTTCAGCTCCTGTGATCCAGACAGTCTAAATGCCAAGCAAGTCAAGAACAAGATCGTCGTCTGCCAGTTCGACCCCAACTATGCTTCCAGGAGAACAATTGTGACATGGTTGCAGCAGAACAAGGCCGCTGGCGCCATTCTCATCAACGACTTCTACGCAGATCTCGCTAGCTACTTCCCCTTGCCTACGACCATCGTGAAAAAAGCCGTGGGAGACCAGCTGCTATCCTACATGAACAGCACCACCACGCCAGTCGCTACACTAACACCGACGGTGGCAGAAACTAACAATCCAGCTCCAGTAGTTGCCGGATTCTCTTCGAGAGGTCCAAACTCCATCGGCCAGGATATAATCAAGGTACAAGCTTGCAATTCCGAGTTTTTGATCAAGATCATGAGCTTTCTTGCAGCCCGATGTTACTGCTCCAGGAGTGAACATCCTTGCGGCCTGGTCGGAGATCGCTCCAGCATATTATGAGAACTACGACACGGCCAAGCCCGTGTATGTCAAGTATAACATCATCTCTGGAACCTCCATGTCGTGTCCTCACGTCACGGGAGCATTGGCCATGCTCAAGTCTGCGTATCCCTCTTGGAGTCCTGCGGCTCTAAGATCGGCGATCATGACCACAGGTAACTTAACTTTCTACCACTCCAAAGTTCTCATACAAGTCTTTGAACCCTCCAGCGACAACTCAAGACGACGAGAAAGAAGGCATACTCGACTATGATGGAAGCCTGAGCAATCCATTTGGTTATGGCGCCGGCCAGATCGATCCCTCGAGATCTCTAAGTCCAGGACTGGTCTACGACACAACACCCTCCGACTACGTCGCTTACCTCTGTGCCACTGGCTACAGTGAGAGCAAAGTCAGGATGATCACAGGAAGCAAGAACACGACTTGCTCCAAGAAGAATTCCAACCTCAACTATCCTTCCATCGCCTTCCCGAGCTTGAGCGGCACGCAGACCACCACCAGGTACCTGACGAGCGTGGATTCTTCGTCCTCCTCCTCGACTTACAAAGTAACAGTCAAGACACCATCGACGCTAAGCGTGAAAGTGGAGCCAACCACGCTCACATTCTCCCCAGGAGCAACGCTCTCCTTCACAGTCACTGTTTCGAGCAGCTCCAACGGTAAAAGCTGGCAGTTTGGATCCATAGCTTGGACGGATGGGCGGCATACGGTGTCCAGCCCCGTTGCTGTGAAGACCAAGGCTTGATCATTCTTATCGAGCTCGAACAAAGTAGACAAAAGAAGGTAAAGGTGACACAAGAGAAAATGGAACCGTGGTCTCGAGACAAATGTGACAGCCAATGCAAGCTTTGAACAGGGAGCAAGCCGCCAAATGTTTGCTCGTGATCTTCCTTGCCAGTGTCGTCCAGTTAATTGTCTTCACGTCGACTATAAAAACGAAGCTCTCACTCCATACTTTCATCCAAGTTCTTCTCTCCTTCCTTTCTTCCTTGGTCGATCTTAGATACATAGCTAGATCGATCGATGGAGCGCTCGGTGATGGTTGTCTTGATGGTGTGCGCTATCGCCTTGGTTTTCTCCTTCTCTTCGGTGGAGGTCACTGCCCATAAGCTGGGACACTGCGGCGATTCGTGCAAGCATCACCAGGATTGCTTCGGTCGTCTGGCTTGCATGCACGGTCACAAGTGCGCCGACGATCCAGATCTCAAGACTACCATCTGCAAGAACAGTAAGCTCGGCGTGTGTGGATCTTCCTGCAAGAAACACGACGATTGCAAGGGAAAGCTCGCTTGCCTCCACTCCAAGAAGTGTGGCGACGATGTACACATGAAGACCAACATTTGCAAGCACAAGCATCACCACCCGGGATCGCCACTGCCATCGCCAGGACCTCTCCCAGCTCAAGGCCCACTCTACGGCTTAAAAAACCAGCCACTATAAGCGATTCGTTTGCTCTCTCTTGACAAAAACAAGTGTAATAAACTGTTAGAAAATTTCCAACTTTGGGTATTTCTTTCTATGCGAAGATTTTCGCTGCCTGGATCATCTCCAGCCGCGGCATTGGTCTTGACACGATCGCTGTGCTGCTTCTCGGCACACCATGTCCAGGAGCTCGCCCAGATGATCCGCTCCTGCGGTGAAGCCAGGGATTCCGCCGAAGGGAAGCGCATCCATTCCGTGATTGCCAGGAGCGAGCAAGCGTCCGGAAATCCTTTCCTCTGGAACTTGCTTGTGGAGATGTATGGGAAAGTTGGCAGTGTCCACGACGCCCGCGGCATTTTCGATGAGATGCCCGGGATCAACATGTTTACGTGGACAATCATGTTTCATGCATATGCCCGAAACGGGCAACTTGAGAAAGCAGCACAGTCTTTTGATTTGATGCCTCAGCGCGATGTTGTTGCCTGGAACTCTATGCTGCAGATTTTTGGGGAGCACGAGAAAGTTGACGACGCACGAAAGACATTCATGGAGATGCCGGCCAGAACAATCTCGAGCTGGAACGCGCTTCTTACTGCATATGCCCAAAACGGGTATTTGCAAGATGCGATGGCCGTTTTTGATCGGCTGCCCTTCTCGGACGTCGTGTCGTGGACGAGTCTGTTTGGGTTCCATGCCAAGAACGGGTATATGAACGAGGCCAGGATGATTTTTCTCACAATGCCTGAGAAGAACTCCACGTCTTGGACCACCATCATCTCGGCTCTCATGCGGTGTGGCGATTTCCAGGCCGCCAAGAACTTCTTTGGCAAGATGCCCCACCATGCTCGAGTGGTGTGGCTGGTTATGATGCAAGGCTACCTCCAAAACTTTCAGTTCGACGTTGCGGCCAGCATGTTTGATCGAATGGAGGAAAAGGATATTGTTTCGTGGAACATTTTGATCAATGCCGTGGCGCAGAACGGCCAAGTCGGTCGAGCGAGAAAGATCTTTGACGCGATGCCCAAGCACGACATGGCAACGTGGAACTCGATGCTGATCGCGTACGCCGAGAAAGGGAGGTTGAGTGAAGCAAGGACCATCTTCGACAGCATGACACACAGGAACATCATCTCGTGGAACTCGATGACGCAGTCTTACATTCTAAACGGTCACTTTGAGGAAGGAAAGAAGGTTTTCGATCGAGCGCCTCAGGTGGACGTGATTTCCACCAACATGCTTCTCTCCGCCAATGCCGAGGGAGGAAATCTCGAAGAGTCGAAATCCATTTTTGACTCCATGGTCATGAGGGACGTTGTGTCGTGGAACGCCATGGTTCACGCTTACGCCATTCACAATCTCCTCGAGAGTGCCGAGTCTACGTACCGGAGAATGTCGCAGCACGACTGTGTGTCGAGGAAGACGATGATGGCGGCTTACGCTCGAGAGGGTGACTTGGAGCGATCGAAGCTCTTTTTCGACGACATGTCGGACAGAGACACGGTCTCCTGGAACACTCTGATCGTTGCATACGCTCAGCGCAACGATGTCAAGAACGCAAAACTGGTTTTTGACAGCACTCCAGTGAAGAACCCGATATCCTGGAACGCGATCATGACAGTCCTCTCCCAAAACGGCCATTACGCCGAAGCGCTCGAGTTCTTCCGCGAGATGGAGCTCGATGGTGGAAGCAAACCCACGGACGTGGGCTTCACCAATGCATTGGTGGCGTGCAGCTATGGTGGTCTCGTCGCCGAGGCCAGAGTTTTTTTCCTCTCCATGGTCGAAGACCACAACTTAACACCGAGGTGGGAGCAGTACTGCTGCATGGTAGACATTCTCAGTCGAGCAGGACAATTGGAAGACGCCGAAGATCTCGTAGAAAACATGCCATTCTCGAGCGGCATGGCGGATTCCAAAGCTCTTCTCAGTGCTTGCCATGTCCAAGGCGATGTCGAGCGTGCCACAAGAACAGCAGGCTCCATGTTTACTCTGGGCTTGAAAGCTTCTGCTCCCTACGTGCTTTTGTCTAACAGCATTGGTCATCTCAAAGAGTAACGCTAAGCTAACTTCGTCTTCCAGATGTTGCTGTCGCTACTTTTACACTTGGCTTCTCATCTGGTAAGTGCGTGGAGCTAAGTTTAATCTGTTGCTTATCCTAATGGAAGCACTGTAGGGTCTCGGCATGGAGCTCCAACGACAAGTATAGGACCATGGGACTGTGCCATTTGAGCAGCGGCTCCAAAAACACTGGCGGCTTCGTCCAGGCAAGCTTTGAGCATACTCTTCTTTAGTATCAAGAGCGCTCTCCAATACATTTTCTTTGATTCAGGTCAGGGAGCTTCTTCTTTGCGTGGAGCATCGCATTGGAGCTGACAAACCGGGCCCAAGGAGCTTCACGCAGCAGCAGCACAGCCTTTGTCATGTCATCTTCATTTCGAGGCCCGGCCATTTACAAAAGCAACGAAGGATTGCAGTCCAAGTACGCTTCTCTGCTGGAAGAGATGGAATTAACGAGCAGGATTTCACGTATGAAGCAGACCGGAGCAGGCCTTTGAGACTTGTAACTCGGCCTCTTCGCTCGGAAGAATCGTCGCCTGAGTCCTTGCAAGAGATTAGGCAGCTCATCGGTAGCCGAGAAGTTTATGTTCCGAGTGAGGCTGAGGAGGCCCAAATACTAGAGCAAGTCTCAAGGATAAAACAGCAAGCTTTAAGAGGAAGTCTGGCTGCAGCGCATTCGGCAATTCAGCAGGTATTGTATTTTTACTTCTTTGTTTTCTTAAATTTTTTTCTTTTTTTTTTCCTGCAGTTGTATGCAAAGTTTCCCAATCACACTAGAGTTCTTGTTGAGTATGCATACATTGAAGCGAGAAAAGGTTCGTTTTTTTTTTCCGCTTTACATGCTGGTTGTGAGCCTTCGACTTAACCAGGTAACCAAGCAGCTGCGGCATCATTGTTCTCCCGTGCCATAACTATCTTCGAAGAAACTGGCAACCTCAACTACGACTACGTGCTTACACTGCAAGGATGGGGCTCCTCCGAAGCCAGAGCTTCCAATTCGCTGAAAGCTCGAGTTTTGTTCGAGGAATCCATACGCGCAGCTGAAAAGGTAGGCACTCGTCTTCTTCTTTCCCAGTTTTTTCTTTACTGAGCAAGGTGCATTCGTCAGCTGCAAGACCACTCCGAGCGAGCCATCGTTTACGGCTTGCACGCGTGGGCTCTGGTGGAAGATAAAGTTGGAAACTGGAGCCAGGCACGAGAGCTCTTGCAAAGAGCGGCAGCGATTCAGCCCGGAAACGCTGTGGTCCATCAGTCGAGAGCTCTCATGGAAGCCCGCGCTCACAACTATTCCTTGGCGCGCTCCAACTTTCGGCTGGCTGTCAAGGCGGACTCACACGATGCAAAGTGCTGGCAGGCTTGGGCCTTGTTCGAGGCAAGCCAACGCAAGTTTCGAGAGATGAGGCAGCTCTTCTACCGTGCTTATCTCGTCAACACCAACGATCTATACACTCTCCAGGTAGAACCAAAGTTTTTAGTTCCAAGGTTCCTTCTTATTTTCTTTCCATACAAAACAGGCATGGGCTCATCAAGAAGCGCTCATTGGCACCACCAAGTCCAAGAACCGAGCTAGAAAATTGTACCAACGATGTGTGGAGATCTCTCCAGAGAATATTTATTCCTGGCAGGTTTGTCACTAGATTTCTTTTCACTGGCTTCACGAGACTTTTGTTTTGGTCAGTCGTGGGGTCTTTTGGAGGAGAGATCGGGGAACCATCAAGGTGCTCGAGTGCTTTACGAACAGGGCCTTCGGATTGATCCTTCGAGCGTTCCTTGTCTCCAAGTAAGTTATTCGTGGCGAATTTTTTTTCATCTTTTGCTAGAAAACAATATTAAAACCATATCACAGGCATACGCTCGCCTGGAGAAAAGCCAGGGAAACATTGAGACATCCAGGAAACTATTGCAAGCTGCTCGGAAGATTGATCCTCACAATGCTCCATCGCTCATGGTCAGTAAAATCTATAGACTATTCTCCATCTCTCTGTTTTAACAAAGAAAACAGGAATCCGGCCTGATCGAGCTTGAGCTCGGGAACAACGACGTCGCTCGCGAATTTTTCAAGCGCGCGCGGAAGATCGACAGGGAAAAGAGCCGTATCAAGAAGCGGATGTTCATCTCGCGCAAGACATCGAGGTTGCAAAGCCCGGGAAACACCGTCAAATTCGAAAATTTAAATCCGAGGCAAGCAACGGTCTAGATGGGCTTGCTGAGACGGACGGTTCACAGTAAAGAGCCTAGGATATACCCATAATTTGAATTGCTCTTAAGCCCTAAAGGGCGCGGACAGGAGAGAGCTCGGCTATGGCGCCGACGGCCGACTACGATCTGTGGAAGAAGCACACGCCAGATCTCTACGATGTGATCATCACTCATGCTCTCGATTGGCCGGTGACGTCGGCGCAGTGGCTCCCTGATCATCAGAGGATCTTGCTTGGAATCAAGGCGCTGGATGATCCCGAAGATTGTCTGGAGAATTGCGTCCTCATCGTCAAGCTCGCTGTCCCAGCCGATCTTGACGCCGAGATCCCTGAGAACTGGGTAAGGCCCCCCTCCTTCTTCCTTCCATGTCTTTCCTGCGTTTCTTGATCTTTGTCCGATGAGGCTGAAATTCGATGTGGAATGCTCCATCCTAGGTCCAGATGACTCAATGGATCAAGCACGAAGGCCAGGTCAATCGAGCTCGCTACATGCCGCAATGCCCAACCATCGTCGCCGCCAAGGGCGAGACGTCGCGAGTTTGCATCTTCGACACCACGAAGCACGAGAATTCCGGCGGCCTGCCGTCGCAAGTGATCGCCGAGACCCAGCCGGAGATGCTACTCGAGGGGCATACCAAAGGTGGCCATGGTTTATCCTGGAATCCCTTCCGATGTGGCATCCTCGCGAGTGGATCACGCGATGGTCTCGTTTGCGTGTGGGATGTGGGCGCCGCTGGATCATCGTCTCGTCCCATTATCACTTACCCGGTACGTAGACCTCATGAGGCAAAGATATTTGATGCTTGCTCATAGTTTTTTCCTCGTTTTTGTCTTAGCAAAACACTCCAGTGGGAGACGTTACCTGGACGTCAAAACACGAGAACGTCTTTAGCACCGGGGATGAAGCAGGCTGGATGCGGACATGGGACTTGCGAGATCCTCTCAATCTAGTGGTTGCGGTGCGTGCTCACCTAGACCCATTGGAGTCACTGGCCTATCATCCTTACGACGAATTTTGTCTCGCAACTGGTTCGTGCGATAACACTGCCCGGATCTTCGACATACGCACACTCTCCCAGCCTATGCACACGTTCGTCGGTCACAGGTAAGTGATCTCTTTGGTCGAATAATGTTCCTCTCTTCGATCAATCCATTTTGATCTAGGGATACGGTTGTACGCGTCGACTGGAGTCCCAAATATCAGGGTGTGTTGGTTACGTCGTCAGAAGATCACAGGGTCATGCTTTGGAACGTGCAAAGGTGGCCTTTGTGAAAAACAGTAATCTATAGAGTAACTTTTTTGCTCGTCCTCGGTGAATCCAGGATTGGGGACGAACAGAGCGCCGAGGATGCCGAAGACGGACCACCTGAGCTCGTGTTTATCCACGGTGGACACTGGGACATAGTCCACGACTTCTCCTGGGACGCCACCGCCAATCTCATCACCAGCGTCGGAGAAGATCACACTGTTCAGATCTGGAGGACGGCAAAACACATCAAGCGCACTATGAGGGGCTCTTCGCCATCCAGGATGGAGACCCCTTCCTCTCCATGATCAGAGAACGAGCAACAGTCTCCTCGAGCTCTAAAACAGCGTCAACGTTGCAAGATCACGAAGGCACTGCTGCTGTCACTCGCTCTACTCCCAGCCTACCAGCTCTCAAGTATCATCCGATCCAGCGATCTTGTTCAAAGGGTCACAAGGACGGCGGCCGTTTTTCCTTTTGTCATGGCAATCTCTTGAGCGGATCATGCCATGGTCTTGTGTGGTGAGATCTCGTCTCATTAACCATGCAATTTCTCGTCTTGTTTCAAGTTGGAGAAGTTATTTTGAGTAGTAGAAAATCCGTTTGAAGATTCTCTACCCGCGAAAATTTAAATCCAATACAGGCAACGGTCTAGATGGGCTTCACAGTAAAGGGCCTTAGGATATGCCTTTATTTGAAATCCTACGGAGAGAGCTCGATGGACGATTACCATGTGTGGAAGAAACACACGGCAGATCTCTACGATGTGGTCATTACTCATGGGCTCGATTGGCCGGTCACGTCGGCGCAGTGGCTCCCTGATCATCAGAGGATCTTGCTTGGATCCAAAGCGCTGGATGATCCCCACGATTGTCTCGAGAATTGTGTCCTCATCGTCAAGCTCGCCGTCCCAGCCGATCTTGACGCCGAGATCCATGAGAACTGGGTAAGGCTGCTTCTTTTTTCCACGTCTTTCTTCCTTCTCTTGACCTCTAGAGAGTGTATGGAATGGGTCCAGATGACTCAATGGATCAAGCATGAAGAAGGACAGGTCAATCGAGCTCGCTAAATGCCGCAAACCCCTTCCATCGTCGCCACCAAGGACGTCGCGAGTTTGCATCTTCGACACCACACCACTAAGCACGAGAATTCCGGCGGCCTGCCGTCGCAAGTGATCTCCCAGGCTCAACCGGAGATGCTACTCAAGGGGCACACCAAAGGCGGCCATGGTCTCCCTTCCGGGCTGGATGCGTACGTGGGACTTACGAGATCCTTTCAATCCAGTCGTGCTCACCGAGACCCATTGGAGTCACTGGCCTATCATCCTTATGATGAATTTTGTCTCGCAACTAGTTCGTGCGATAACACCGCCCGGATCTTCGACACACGCGCACTCTCCCAGCCTCTGCACACGTTTGTCGGTCACATGTAAGTCTCTTTGATTATATTTCCATCTTCCTCTCTTCTCCCAACTTGATCAATCCATAGGGACACGGTTGTATGCGTCGCCTGGAGTCCCAACCATCCAAGTGTCTTGGTTACGTCGGCAGAAGATCACAGGCTCATGCTTTGGGACGTGAAAAGGTGGTCTTGTGAAAAACTATAGTTTAACTTTAACTTGGCCTCGGTGAATGCAGGATTGGAGAAGAACAGAGCGCTGAGGATGCCAAAGACGGACCACCTGAGCTCCTTTTCATCACGGTGGACACTGGGACATAGTCCACGACTTCTCCTGGGACGCCACCACCAATCTCATCACCAGTGTCGGAGAAGACCACACTGTCCAGATCTGGAGGATGGCAGAACATATTGAGTGCACTATCAGGGACTCCTCCATTGCTTCCCCTTCGGGATGTAATCATGGAGAGCAGGGGTCTCCATGATCACAAACGAGCAACAAAGATGTTACTATGCCTCCTTCAATCATCGCCATCATGTCCGAACTGTTGCAAAGACACTAGCAAGCACGAGGATCAGCACAAAGTATACTCGGATCCAGTGTTGTTCAAGGGACACAAGGATTGCATTTGTCATGGCAATCTCTTGAGTGGATCATGCCATGGTCTCTCGTGTGTTTGTGGGACGTGAGTAGTCGTCCCATATTAACATGCTTACAGTACGTCTACTCATGTATGGCGCAATTTCTCGTCTTGTAAACCAGTTTAGTTCGAAGTTCCAAACATGAGCACGTTCCAAGATCTACAAATTTACCATAAAGTGCCTGAAAATTTTAAACTTCACAGCCTCACACCCCAAAGATCTCCCTTGAGTTCTCAGAAAAGAGGTGTCATTGTTCCAACTCTCGGGACATCATTCTCTTGCAAATTGTTTCACTTTTAGCTCACAAACTCTAAGCCATGACACTTATTCCTTGAATTCGTTGATGAATTCCACCTTTACCGAATAAATTCCATGAGTAAATGCCATGGCTAGGATTTTTGTGCTAAAAGTCAAAAGATTTTGAGAGTGAATGATGTCCTGGGAGATGGAACGATGGTGCCTCTTCTTTAACCAACTTCTTTTGTTCGTTTTTTCATCAAGAGTTAAATTAATAACCTGGAGAGTGTATAGACGAGTGCCAGGAGCACACCAGGGGGGCTTCCATGAGAGCTCTCTGATGGACCACAATGTTTCTGGCTGAATGGCTGCCGCTCTTTGCAAAGCTCTCGTGCCTGACTCAAGTTTTCAACTTTGTCTTCCACATGTGCAAGCAGTAAACTATGGCTAGCTCAGTAAAGGAAAACTAAGAACACCAGTGCCTACCTTTTAGCCACGAATATGGATTCCTTCCAAGCTTTTAACGATTTGGAAGCTCTGGCTCCAGAGAAGCCCCATCCTTGCAGTGTAAGCACGTAGTAGTTGAGGTTTCCAGTTTCTTCGAAGATTACAGCACGAGAGAACAAGATGCCGCCGCAACCAGCATGAAAAGAGTAAAAAACACAAACCTTTTCTCGCTTCATACTCTACCCAAAGTGCGTAAAATTTCGCTCATGCTATTGATCTCTTGTTTTAACAGAAAAAAAACTGATGTTCATCTCCCGCAAGACATCAAGGTCTGGGAAAATTCGTGTTTTGGCAATGTCTTTTTAGTCATCTGACCCAATGCACACCCTTGGTGGTGTTGATGGGATAGTCATTCCAGTGATCAACTGGTTCTTATCGTAATGATTTATATAAGATACACTAGTCTCCATGAAGTTAATTTCAGCTCCGTCACTGCCAGTCAACAGTCTAGATTGGCGTGCCTAGACAGACAGTTCACAATAAAGGAGCCTAGCATATGCCATAATTTAAATTAAGCTTGCGGAGGAGAGAGAGCTCAGCTATCGCAATGGCGGATTTGGAAGAAGCACATGCTAGTCTCTACGATGTGGTCATTACTCATGCTCAATTGGCCACTGGCGAGTGGGCTCCTGATCATAATAACATTGCCTGGATCTTTGACATACAGACCTCCAGTGCATACATTGTTGGTACTTTTATCACAACTTGATCAATCCATTTCATCCATGGTACATAGTCTATGACTTCTCTTATGGCACCACCACCAATCTCATCACCAGCATTAGTTTCTGTGCTCTTGCAACATTAGATGGCAGCTGTTTAGTAACATCTTGCTCTCCATAATTCAATGTCAAAGAAGTAGTGGAGGAGTTTTTTGCTGCCCCGATGATGTATTCCACTAGACTCTAGTCAAATCTAGTGTTAGGTGAAGAGATTGATAGATCTGTCCACTTTGAATTCAGTTTCCACTATAGAAGACCCTTAATCAATTAAAAAACAATCTCAACATCCCTAGTCAACCAAAAAAGTAAAGACTTTTTTACTTTTAATACCCTTAATCATTAAAAAAAAAGCCCATATCTTTAAACCATAATGAATCTCTTTCAATATAATGTCACTAATAGATTGATGATGGTGCCCAGATCTGCCCAGATCTAGAGGATGGTACATATTCAAGAGCAATAGAGACTCCACTGGGACATCATACAAGACAAGGATTTACACTATATATGATACACTGTTAATGTGACTACCCACATCCTATTAATACACCCCACAGTGTGACAAACATAATGCTTCATGTGATGATTCATAATGAGGGTGATGATTGAAGAATAGGCATCTAGCACATGTGACAATGCTTCTGTACTCTTGCAACATAATGACAATTATTTAGTAGCATCTCTTTGTTACTAATTTGTGATCATGGAGTGCTCTCCATGATTGGATCCTGAAGAGGGAGCAGTAGTAATTTCTCCCACTAGAGCTAATTTAATTCTTCAAGATCTAGACATGTTACCTGGACAGCTAAACATAAGTATGTCTTCAGCCTTGGAGGAGTTATGTTCCAGACATACTTGCAAAAAGTGTAAAATTTCCTTTAAATATTGACAACTCCCTTCTCAATCTTTTCACTTTTTGAATTCCAAGCCACTCTTGGAATTCTTTGACCAATTCCTAGAGTTTGTGTGTGTCAAATATTCTTAGAATTAGTCTATATCATGAAGCTTCTAACCCCTTGAATAGGCTCTTTTTGTTAAGATTCTATCCCTTACACCCTAAAGCAAATCCTCCCCTCACTAGAAAATGATTAATAGTTAGGCCACCCTTCAAATCCATTATGCCATACTTCTTTTAAGGTTTACTAAATTTTATTTCTCCCCTCCCTCTAAATCCACCATGTTGAATATTCTTTCAAAATATTTTTGCCTCACTCACTAACCACTAGAATTGAAATAGGCTCCAATACTAATCTTAGGATCTTATCCCTTACACTATATGAATTGCCCTTTTTTATTCTATTATCCTAACCTCATGCTTAACAATCCTCCCTTCATTAGGGAATGATAATCCAAATCATTCTTAGATCCACTATCCTTTTAGGATCTACCAAACTTTAGTTTTCTTTATAAATCCACTATGTCAAATATTCTTTTAGAATATTCTTGAACTAATACCAATGTTATAATTGTGCTTAAGTATGATCATGGATGATCATTCCCTAGGCATGTTAAGCACCAAATCAGTATAATAGGATAAGAAAAGTCTCTATAATCAATTAATCCCTTTTAGCTAGTTGGGATAAGGTGTAAGGGATAATATCCTAACACTTTCTAGACCTACATCAACACTATATCTTTAGGGCATTTCTTAAAGGAGAAAATAGATTTGAAGAAGAGGGACTTTAATTATGAAATTTTAGATGGACTAATCTCTCAAGCTCAAGTCTTGGGAGCTTATTGATGTGGCAACAAACAACTTGCAAGTTTTGAAGATTTAAAACATGTTAAGAAAATTACATAGGAAACTTGCTGTATATTGATCATGCAAATGCCTGGAACTGAGGAGATGAGGAAGACTAAACGTTGTGCAAAAAAAAAAAAACGCTCAGAATCTGAAAATGGAACTTCTTGCAACTATTGCACATAAAAAATAAAAGAGTTAATAATTGATTCCTCCCATAGGATAGCCACCCTAGTATCTTATTCTTGATCAATATCCCAGTGAGCCAAGAATAGTATCCCAACGACCAAAGGAGCAAGACCAGGACTCTCTCTATAGAGAGTTTATTATGAAAAGCCTCTCTGGCAGATCGATGCTCTAGCATGTGGATAAAATTTATAAAGGTGTCATTTTAAAGTCTTAGTTTGCTTTTCTTTTCTAGAGGCAATGCAAGGACTTGATATTCAGCAATTTTCAAGTGATCTCTTCATGGTTTCTATCCTGCTGTGGAATGTGGATGCTTGATAGCAAGCAATTCCACAATATGTGATCATTCCATTGTACAATATCAATAGGCTTTGATTATAGATTCATAATTAATGTTGGGAGGTAATTTTGCTAGGAATTTCATAACATGTAAAGATTATGACATGCAAAATAATTGTATGACATATAAAGATTATGATATGTAAGGTAATTGCATAACATGTAAAAGAAATTAATCTCTCAGGCTCTATGATGGTATTTTGTCTAAAATATATAGGCAATTTGTGTTTATCAATCTCTAGAACATGAGATATATTGAGAGGACAAACCTCATCTAGAACAAATGCCAATGAGTGA